GGCGTAGGACTCCACAGAGTCCACAATTTCCACTGAGAACAAACACAAATGAGAAAAAAAGTGGATTAATTGTCAAACCTTAACATGACTAACACATTAATAAAGACTTCTATCTGGCTACAGCAGCATTAAAGTTATAAACCATTTATTTGATGTACAGTTGAAACCAGAACCTTTTTTTTTGTCACTGTCTAACATTAAATCTTTTCCTGTTTTAGGTCAGTTAGGATTATCAGAATTATTTATATTTCCTAAATGCTAGAATAATGAGAGAGAGAGAGATATTTTTTGTATGACTTTCTTCAAAGTCAGAAGTTTACGTCCATCTCCTTAGTATTTGGTAGCGTTGCCTTTAAACTGTATGACTTGGGTCAAACGTTTTGGGTTTCCTTCCACAAGCGTCTTACAATAGCTTGATGAGTTCGGGCCCATTCCTCCTGACAGAACTGGTGGAAATGAGTCAGGTTTGTTGCTCCACATGCTCACAGCCCATCAGGGCTTTGTGATGGCCAATCCACAGCACTGACTCTGTTGTCCTGAAGCCTCTCTGTAACTAATCTGGCGCTGTGCTGAGGGTCATTGTCCATCTGAAGACCCATTAGTGCCCAAGCTTTAACGTCCTGCTGATGTCATGAGATGCCATCTATTCTGTGAAGTGCAGCAGTCCCTCCACAGCATGATGCTGCCACCCCCTTGCTTCACAGTTGGGATGGTGTTCTCAGGCTTCAAGCTTCCCCCTTTTTCCTCCAGATGTACCGATGGTCATTCAGGCCAAACAGTTCAGGTTTAGTTCCATCAGACCACAGGACATGTCTCTAAGAATGAAGGTCTTTGTCCCTGTGTGCATCTACAAACTGTAATCCGTCTTTTTTTACGTTTCTTCTGGAGTAATGTCTTCTTCCTCTCTGAGCAGCCTTCCAGCCCATGTCGGTACAAGACTGGTGTCACTGTGGATAATGACTCTCTGACCAGCTTCAGCAGCATCTTCACAAGGTCTTCAGCTTTTGTTCTGGGGTTGATTCACACATTTCAACCAGAACACTTCATCTCTGGGACACAGAACCCGTCTTCTTCCTGAGCCTATGATGGCTGGACATTCCCATGGTGTTTATGCTTGAGTAGAATTGTTTGAACAGATGAACGTGGAACCTTCAGGCATCTGGAAATTGTACCCAAAGATGAACCAGACTTGTGGAGGTCTACAGTTCTCTTCCTGATATCTTGGCTGATTTTCCATGTTGTCACCAAAGGAAGCAGTGTGTTTGAGGTGTGCCTTAAAATACATCCACAGGTGTGCCTCCAGTTAACTCACATGTTGTCAATTAGCCTATCAGAAGCTTCCAAAGCCATGACATCATCATGTGGGCTTTCCCAAATAGTTTGAAGGCATCTTAGTGGATGTAAACTTCTGACTTTGAAGAAAGTAATAAAAATTCTGGCGTCTAGCAAATAGAAATAATGTTGGTAATCCTGACTGACCTGAAACAGGAAAAGTTTAGTCTGATTTAACGACAGATAGTGAGATAAAAAGGTTATATGTCATTTTTATACAGTGGATGTAAACTTCTGGTTTCAACTGCACTAGTAAATATGGGATTAAAAAGTTGTTTTTAGTCGAAGAAACTATAAAATTAGACCTTCAGAGGATGTTTAGTCACTCTGCAACACGTCCATATGTTCCCTTTTTCCTTCAGTTTGAAGTGACTGGTGACAGACTGGTGCTGCACTTCACCTGTGAAGGGTTTGAACTTGTTCTCCAGATCAAACGTCTGCTTTCCCACAGTTGTCAGATCCACTCGCAGTCCGGGGCAGATGGCGAACTCCTCGATGGTTCTGCTGATCTGGAAGATCTTCATGGTGACAGCTTCCTTGGCTGGGCCTGGATGCAGGAGGAAAAGTTATTCACACGGTAGAAATCAAAACAGCATACCGAAGACCACATTCAGTTTAATGTCTTCTAGGTAAAAACGTGCAGATCTTTCTGATGTTCCTGAACTCTTCCCCAGATTTGAGCCCACACAAGACCCTCCGACTATATCCGTGTCCAAACCACACAGTGAGTCTGAATGAGGCCTTGTGCAGCCTTGTTAAATGTCTGACTTCTCCCGTAACACTATTTTGCACTTGGCCCCTGCCTCCGCATGCTTCCTCCTATCGAGTTACCATACCTCCATTTGCAGCATTAAACTTAATGCCAAAGTCTCCATCAGGTCCGCCGGGGTTGTGGCTGGCCGTGAGGACGATGCCACCGATGGCTTTGTATTTCCTGACCAGGCAGGAGATGGCCGGTGTGGACATGATCCCGTGGTGTCCGATGATCATGCGACCCACCTGAGGAAATGTCACACAGGTGTGTTTGAGTTGGCCCACATGAGAATGCGTCTTAATATATCCGAGTGAGGGGCGGGGTGGGAATGCCACCCAATATCAGGTTTGCTTCTTCCTAAAAGTGAGCGGGGGGGGACTAGAGTTTCATTTAATGAACGACGGTTACGGCACATCAGGACCAGGTTCCATCATGCGTAAGTGTTTTTTAAATCCCTCCGAGCGTATCGTTCAACCCAGAAAGCATCAGAAGCTCAGAGTTTATGTAATTTAAACCTGGGAACCATAGAGAGCTCATTACTGGGGCTGGCGAGAGGGGTTGAAAGCAGAATATGTTTAATGTGTTTCTATTTGAAGACAGCGGAGCCAGGAGCGACGACTATCCTGCTGTCTTTTACTGTTGACAGGCAGCTCTCGCTTTCATTTCATAGTGTTGCATTGTTCTGCTGCTGAATTGCATTACATTTGATTCCTTTTAGCCCTTTGCACTCCTTGTTAATCAGCATTATCTCTGTTTTTGTAGCTCAGTAAGCCCAGAAAACCGGAATAGTTACTGCTAAACATTTAGGGTTCATCTTTTTCAGCCTGACATTTAATGCAACAAGGCAACAGGTGGTCGTATTTATTATTTCATAAAAATAAAATTACTTTTTTAAAATATTTATTTATGTGTAGAGTGTGTTTCAGAGTTTATAAAGAGAACTGCTGCTATATTTTGCCAACTAATATGATTTTTAAATGACTATTTACAAAAACTAATACTGTTAGGATATGAAAAGAAATTAATTAAATTCATCTTTAACTGTCTGTATTCTGTGTTTTGTCTTTCTTTCTGGCAAATTAATTTAATTCAAAATACAAGTTGTCGAGAACTATAACTGTACTGTATGTTGCTGCTATGTTGGAGTGTGAAGCGTTTATTTACTGCTTTTTGTTTTATTATTATTTATTATTATTTATTACTTTTACTATTTCCAATTTTATCATGTGTGTTAGAAACGTGATATCAATATTTAATTTTTAAAAAATCACATTGTATAGTGCAACAGTATTATTTATTAGTATAATTTAGGAGAAAAACTGTACAAACATGCCATCAACAGAAGTCTGCTGCAGTTTTAAAAGCTCAAAAAAATACAAATAATCGCACCTAAAGGTCTACTTACTGGCCTTTTCATGAATTCAAACATTCAGCTGTCACCTATATTGTAGTTATTACAATTAGAGAAGAAACTAAATTAGGATAAAAATATAAGAATGTGTTATAGGCCGATGACAGACAATCTTGAGGTAGTTTTTTTTCTCTCTCAATAAATCAAATGTTTCAAGTAAAAAATAATACAATTTAAAAAACAAAACAAAAACATAAATAATAATTTCTTAATGGCTAGCAATTAATATTTGATGTACACACTATAAACTTTAAATATTTTTTGCATTTTAAAATTAAAATTAAAAAAAAAAATCTTAATTTTATGTCATTTTTAAAAATAATAATATTTTAAATACCTGCCAGTCAGTTTAAAAACCACAGCCACTTCTTTGGATTTTTCCATTTTTGTTTGTACTGGGATCAAAGTCTTTAACGTCTACATTGATCTAAATAATCTACTTTGTGCCAAGAGCTGAATACGATACAAGGCCGACAGAACCAACGACAACAAAGGGACGAGTGGCGACGGCAGGTGACACTGACATACATCCCGTCGTCTGCACATCAGGTCACATCTGGTCACACACACCCACCCGCCTCAGCGTAGGCGCTGGCCGGCGTGCGCACACAAACAAACACAACGTAAGCAAATCCACACACATGGTGACACCAACCCCGTTGGCAGCTGCCATCTGCACGATGACCTCAATGGCCGTCGGGTTGAAGAAGCGTCCGTCTCCCCCCACCACCATGGTTGAACCCTGGCGGTCGCGCAGGTCAATGGAGGAGAAGATACTCTGGATGAAGTTGTGCAAATAGTTCCTCCTGGACTGAAACACGTAGACCTTCTTCCTCAGGCCGCTGGTTCCGGGTCTCTGGTCTGGATAGGGGGCTGTGGGGACGGTCAGCAGCTGCAGAGGACTGTTCTCCATTGTTTCGAAGTGAGGATCCGACCTAAAGCCTTGGAGAGCAGAGGGGACCTGTTATTTAGAGGGAAATCCCCGGTCAGTTGACATGGGGGGGATCGGTTCAGGGGAGCAGAATGGAAAGGCAAAGAGCTTGACTCCTCCCTATTATTTCCCTGGAAGCACAGGGCGCTTCTGCAGCCCAAAATAACCTTTCAAACTAATGTGTGTGCAGAGGCATGGGTGGGTGGGTGGGTGGAGGAGGAGGGGGGAGAGTAACTGAAGACGCTCCTTCGCACATGTGCGGGGAGATCACTGTCAAGGCTGCAGTCACAAAGAAGTGTGTTTGGGTGTGTCTCGGCGGAAGCACTGAGGTGTTATGGGAGCAATTCATCCATCTGTGAAGGGCTGCAGCTGCGCTTGGAGTAATGACAAGCAAAAAGAAGGGCGACGTCTCTCATTAGAGCCGTTTAACACTATTTCAGGAGAGGATAGTTGACCTTTCCTAATGCTGATAGCGAAAACAGACGGTTATAGGAGCAATTATAGACTGAACACAGAGCTGTTGTTTTAAGATAGCAATTTATCAGATGTAATTACACACACAAGCGCAGTCGAGTCACAGAGGAAGAGGGCCGCACGAGACGGTGCAACGCTGCCCTCTAGAGTTTATTAAGCGACACAGTACAAAAGAGTTTGGCGCAAACACCCTCACAGTGCAACATTCAGAGAGTTTTAGTGTGTGGCAACAGCATGCATCAGTCATTCATTTAGTTTGGCATCACAATAAAGTGGTTTCAGGATGACACAACTCTGCTTGATTTTGTCTGATCAGAACCACAAGCCAGCAACAAGTAGAACCCAAAATAACAAAGTACAAAAGAGACATACAGTAAGTTCTTCTCGTTGGGAAATCGACGCAGAAATGAAATTATTTGCAGTCAGTTACATAAAATACAGTAAATATATACAAACTGAGAATGAGTACGATCCATACCAACTGTCGCTACCTTTAGACCACAACAACATGAAGAAATGTGCATGTGGGGCCTTTTGCCACATTTCAGAGTGAAATGAACAAACACAATATGAATCAGTAACTATCATACTATTTGATTAACTATATTAATTAACTTTTAAACCAATTATGCCAAAAAAATTCTGTTTTCAGATGCCGTCTTGAATAATGAATTGGTTCTTGGGCTAACGATGTGTAATTTGTTGTCTTTAAAGCCTTTTTTTTGGCTGTCTTCCACCACAAATATAAATATAGAAGATGCCACTTTTTCTTTTAATTTGTTTTTCAAGTGTTGTATGTCTAGGTGGCAGATTTTAAATATCAGGTGACTTGTGCCACATGGCTGCTTGTTTTCTGTTTTCTTTGCACCATACACACTGATTAAGACTCTGTGTTGGTTTATGCATGTATTAATTATTTCTATGTTTCAAATCACAGTGCTTCAGGTAGACTTTGCAGTTGCCGACCAACACCAAGCGGAACAGTTAGTAATTTTTAGATGCAGTTATGTTATGTTTAAATAATATTTCGGGGACAAAAGAGTCGACAAATTTCAACAGGTTTCCTTTTTCTCTCAAGACAAAGAACCAAATAAAGAAAAGCTATGTTATGTAGACAAGTATGTTCTGCTGTCTGTCATATCTTGTTATTCCCTTCCTCGTTAGACCTTCAAGGGGTCCCGCCCCAAATGTTGGGAACCATCCCACCGAGAGTCAATGTGACCCAATATGAAAGCTGCTCATATGATTGGAATTCTTCTCTATAATCTCTGACCAGGAAGTATGTGAGCTGTAGTTTATGCCGGGATGTGAGCCAGCTGAATTTCAGTGTATATTACGTTTTGCAATGTGTTTTGAGGTTCCTTCATGCATGCACAACATCCTGGCCACGGGGAGTTTAGCACACAGCAGACCTCAGAAGCTTAGTTAGTGTCCTGTATGACTGATTTTAATCTACTGAGACACTCGGAGGAAACGTCCTCCTCTCTGCCAAAGCCTGTCCTGAAACCATGGCTGCCCACATGAAGCACCGCCAAGGCTTTCCTGAAGAGGCTGCAGTTTATTGCAGGTTTGTGCTGAGAACTTTTACTGGATGACGCCGGTCCGGGATCAGAGAAAGACGCTTGGCTCGAAGGAAGAGGAGGCAATGCTGGGGGAGGCCACGGGACGGACAGAGATCTGGGTGAACTTGAGGGAGTAGGAGCCCTTTCGGCCCAACTTCCACTGGATCCCTCTCCTGCGTTCTGAGCGCCACTTTGGTCTCATGTGGAAGTATCTCCCGTTCAGGTTGGCGTCTCCGCAGGTGTTGAACCACCATCCACCTGGAAGACGGCGGACATTACATGAAGTGGATACTAGATGATAAATACCTGTTATTTGCATCCCGTTGTGGTGGGAAACTTGGCTGCTACATGCTGTACCTGCTTGCTGGTGGGCACAGTTTGAGTCCTGGTGGTTGCTGTTGTCCCTGTCCTTGGTGGAGAACATCATCCCCGTGTGGTTGCTCATGGAGTCAGGCAGATTTCCAGACAGATGCGTGAGGTGAATGGTGTAGTTGTTCCGAGGACCATCAAGGTGAAATCTGTATTCAATGAAGCGTTTGTCCTGTTTCCAGTCTTCCAGCTGGATGTGAAGGACAGAGTTGCCCTGACAGGCTAGAGAGTGAATCTTCCTGAGACCCAGCCAAAACTCTCCTGTGAGACAGAGACATGGTTCAACAGGTTCAACTATAAGAAGTTATGCACCCAAAGACACAGACAGAGGTGCAGATATAAAGTAAAGGATGAAGTTACAAACCTTATTATCACGCTATAAAACTAATACAGTTGAGAACAAATTTTTGGCCCAACATTACATCGCAGGTCGAATCTCTTACCATGAAAATCTCCGAATCCGTTTTCATACGTCTCCCAGGTTTGATCGAAATTCACCGAACCGTCCCGTCTTCGCTGGATGACCGTTGCTCCGTGGTCTAAAATGGAAAAACGACAAACAAAGGTGGCCTTAATTTAAGGATGACCATCATCGAGCAACACCTAAGTCAGTTAATTTAGCAGCTGATAGCGAATAATTGATTCATTATCTTAATTTGTCAAGCAAATATTTGATGTTCCCTTCATGTTTCTCTGAGATGTGAGACTGCTTTGTCATATATAACAGCACATAAATCATCTTTGGGCTTGTTGGTTTGACGATCAAACAAATTAGAGGTGTTGCTTTGAGGATGCTGTGGCGTCTTTACTTATGTTTGAACATTTATTTTTTAAAATAGTCGATTGATGAAGAAAATGACGGGCAAATTCATGTGAAGGGAGGTGAAGTTTACGGAAATTTATCCTCAACTATGAAGATGTATCCAAGCTCCAAAAGAAAGAAGAAACTGTCTCGTCTGAACACAAATGGTGGACTGAGGATGAAGAAGGATGGAAGGATAGATGGATATGACCCTGTAGTCAGACGGATTCTGGAGAAAGGAGGTAAAATCAGGCGGAGAAAGGACCCAGGAGATGATACTTCTAATGAAAGTGAGAGGGGAGACAGCGATGGAGAGCAAGGGTTCTTCGCCTTCAAGAAGATTCTTTCCAATGGCTCCAGAGTAGACGAGGATAGAAGGAGTATAGACCAAAGCCGAGAAATGTTGGAGAACCATAAACAACAGTTGCCATCCTGGTCTCTGTACATGTCTACCAACATGCAAACACAACATTTTATAGACAAAATTTTGCCTGTGAAGTGCAAAAGCGGGATCACCTTTGCTCATGTCACAAAAGACCATGAAGGGTTCCGATCCGTTGGGTTTGATGGCGTAGACGCCGCTCACTCGCTCTCCTCTGTTGAACAGCTCGCTGCAGTCCGGTGGCAGATCTATTCGGAAAAATGACCAACAAATCCAACGTTACACTTGAATTAACTTTAGCTGTAAAGTGGCAATCAAAGAAGCTAACGAAAGACATGTAAACGAAGGTTCCTATTAGCTGCATCAACAGGAAGAATCAGGATGTTCTGAGGCTGTGAAAACACCAGGCAGTTTAACGCTCCGAAACTTTATGAATGCAAAGCAGAAAAAATTGCAGAAACTCTCTTGGACACATTCATAAATAATGAGCACCGAACCAGTAAGATTGAAAATGCAACCTTTGTGCTCGTCTGACAGACACTAAATCCTGAAGTCGCCGGCAACATCTCCCTGCGTTTCATTTTCCATCTTACTCATCGTTCTGGCGCTATCGGTGGAGCTCGGGGTCAGGTAGGGGGTGAGCGTTGGCGCTTCGGCGTTGAAGATTTCCGGGATCCTCTCCATGGTGTCCTGGGCTAACGCGTTGGCCGTAAGCTGTGGAAAATTGTCGGGGAAACACTTCAGCTCGCAGACATAATCCTCAGACTGTGTGTTGAAAAGTACTTCCACACATAATAAGAAACTGCGGGGTTGTTATTCTGCAGAAGTTCTCCAAAGTTTTTCTTTTCTTTTTTTTTTTTGTATTATTATTAAACGTAACAATATAGATTTCCTTTTCAAAGCTAAGAAAAATGCAAATGATTTCAGCACCGACTGAGATTATTAAAAACACGGACAGCTCCTTCAGTCCCGAAAAGATTTAGAACCTCAATTATATTGCTCAGCGCCGTGACTCTGCTGAAGTTTCCTTCTACCAGCACCACCAATCATGACAGCTCATAACCCAAAAAGTAGGCAAAATATTCTCAGTAAATCTAAGGAAAGACTTTTGCACAAACTGAAAGTGAGTGGAGCTTCTCATTCACTCTGACTGATTAAAGGAGTGTAAGAAAATTATAGGCGGTGATGTAGAGGGACTGGATGTTATATTTCACCTCCTAAATAAGTAAAAAAAAAACCCAAACCCTCCCTTGCTTTATTAATATTTCTCCAACAATAACATCAGTTCTCGTAATTGTTTACTTTTTCCTCCAGGATCTTGATCTTGGACCTCTGGTGGTTGAGCTGGTCGCTTTGCTCCCTCACGGCCTTCAGCAGCTCACCGATGCTCTGCTCCTGGCTGTGGATCACCCCCTGATTGGGGAAGAGAATCACAGTTAAATGGTTTCACATCATACACATCACTTTGAGACTGTGTTAGAGCAGCCATATGTAGTGGGAGAACAAATCTAAAGTAATAAAAATATTCCAAAAGCATGTTCTGTCTCAGAAAAGGTTGCCTCCGTCTAATTTTAACAATGTGACATTTGAAAAGCGAGCTAAAAATGAGTAATGAGATTTTTCATTTTCAGTTCTAATTGAAAATAACATATGCAGATGTAATTAAAGAAAAAGGAGGCCAGAGAAAAGCTGTCATCTGACCTACAGGGAGGTCACGAACGCCGCCTGATCCTAAATGAGATTTCTGAGGCCTTTCCACCTCATGAATAATCCAGGCTCAGGTTCACTCACCCGAAGGCCGTTGATCTCTGCCACCTGTTCGCTCGTCACCAGGCCGTGCGACAGGCTCCTCAGCTTCTCCTCCAGGCCCTCCACCTTTTCCTGCAGCCGGCTCTTCTCCTGCAGGATGCTGTCCATCTTGGAGCTGATCTCCTCGGACAGGCCCCTGATCTCTTCGTTGTTGGCCTTCAGCACCACGGTGGTCTTCTTCAGCTCCTCTTCCTCCTCCTTGATCTCGCTGGCCAGCACCGACAGCTGGTAGAAGGAGCGGTCGAAGATGTTGAGCTTCTGGAAGATGTCGTTGATCTGCCCCTTGGTCTTCTGCACGAACTCCCGCAGGCTCTGGCCCAGCTGGAGGAGGCCGTTCGCCAGGAGACGCACGTCGTCCAGGGCGGCGAAGCGGGACCGGGTTTCGGTGGGGACCTCGAGCTGGAGGGCCGGGGGCTCCTCTTTGGCACAGATGCAGGCAGCGGCCAGGACGAGCACAACAGGAATTAGCGTTGCTCTCATGTTGTCGCTTCTCCAGCTGTGCATCGAAGGTGTGAAGGTGGCAGCTGGAAGCCCTCGCCTCTCTGCGTGACTGGACGAAGAGCTGCAGGGGGAAGATCCGAGCCTTTATACCCTGTCTGGAACCAGCTCAATGATTAACCTGCGATCAATTTCTGTGTGCAGAATGTGGCTTCCTCCTGCTTGAGGGATTGTTGGTTGAACTTTTTGTGCTTAGTTTCAGTAGTTCAGTTTGAATATTAACCACATCTCAGCAGCAGAATACATAATCACACAACACTGGATTGTTGAGAATGTAGTAAGTGGTCAGTCTAAGAGACCTCATTGAAAGGAAAACAGGATATTGTAGGTAGATAGTTAACACACTGGTGGCTGAACTATACATTATTACACCGTGTGTTGATTTGTCAGATTTAATGTGTGATATCCACTGAATGGATTGTAAAGTGGGGCTGCAAGGTGGCTCGGTGGTTAGCACTGTTGCCTCGCAGCTAGAAGGTTGCCGGTTCACGTCCCGGTGAGGACACCCGGGATCTTCCTGCATGGAGTCTCCATGTTCTCCCTGTGCAGCGTGGGTTCTCTCCAGGTTCTCCGGCTTCCTCCCACACAGTTCAGAAACATGCTGAGGTTAATTGGTGATTGTAAATTGTCCGTAGGTGTGAATGTGAGTGTGCTTGGTTGTCTGTCTCTTGGTTGTCCCTGAGTCAGCTGGGATAGACTCCAGCCCCCACGACCTGAGTGTATAGATAATGGATGGATGGTATGACAGCAGCAGAATACATGATCAAGAAAACTTGATTGTTGAAAAATGTAAAGGTTGATTGCGGTGGAGTTTTACTGTTTTAAATGTGGTCAGAGTAACTCAAAATGCTTACAGTTGCCTCATGTAAATGTACCTTTGATTAGACCCTTGATGGGAAAATTTACAGCATTACAGTGGTTAGAATAAAATAAAAAAAAACCTTATAACAAATGCTAAGTAAAGAAAAATATGTTCTTATAGGTACATAGTTAGCACACTAGTGGATCAACTATGGTAAATGGACTGCACTTATATAATGCTTTTTTTTTTCTACCGTAGCGGCACTCAAAGCGCTTTACAATGTGTTTCTCATTCACCCATTCACACACCAATGGTGACAGAGCTGCCATGCAAGGTGCTGCCTGCCACTGGGAGCAACTTCAGGTTCAGCGTCTTGCCCAAGGATACTTTACACATTAGACACATTAGAGGACAACCGTTCTACAACCTGAGCCACAGCCGCCCGTAAACTGTGCAATAATGTATTACTGCACAGTTTACACAGGATGACAGGTGTGTGAATTTGTCAGATTTCATGTGTAATATCCACTGAGCGCAGCTTGGATTGTAGAGTGTGACAGCAGCACGAAGGTATCTTTCCTTCGCACACAACAGGTGAGGCAGCCTGTCACTGCAGGAGCTGCCAAGTGCTGTCAGAGTCTCCTGCATGGGACGGTGGGACGTGTTCTCCATCAGGGGTGACAACCGAGCCATCATTCAGCTGCCAGGAACAGAGCCGGCCTCCTTAACCAACCGGCTCAGTCTCCTCCTGTTAGCAGTCGAGACGCTGCTGCCTCAGCGGACCACGCCAGAGAAGAAGGCTGAAGAAGGTGAATACCCGGGTAATTGATCTCCAATCGCTGGATGAACTAGCATAGCTGCACCTCCCTGCGGCTACTACCAATCCAACTGGTTGTCTCACTAGTTTGAATTTACTAAAAGCAAAGTCACTTTGACATCAACAGCGAAAGCGACGCCAGCTCGGTAGTGTTTAACCAATCTAGGGATGTTTTCCTCCGAGCTGGGACGCTCTGACACTGTGTTTTCACTGACCTGTAGTAACCTGTGCCGAGGACACGGCCGGTCCCCTGTTATTGTTGTGTGGCTGGTTTATTTTTAAACAGAAAGATGACCCAGTTTACATATAAGATCGATGGAGACGTACGACTTAGACCCCAACGGTTTTGCAACGTATGGATGGATGCAACAGAACAAACACCTACTGCTCAAAATAAAAACGGGGGCAAAATGCAATCATCTAAAAAAAAAGAAAAAAGCTCCCTCATTCAGTGTGTCATTTATGATTGATTGGAGGAAAATGGCCGTACCCCCTCTGCAGTGAAATATCATAATGTATATTCAACAGCCTGCAAGGATGGACCTGCATTTCTGCAACACACACACACACATTTGTACACACACACAATGCATGGAGACTCATTTGTGGCTCTGTTTGACTTGGAGTGGGAGTATGAATTGAGACATAAGCACTCGTCTGTTAAACGTTAACTGTGATGGTTGTACGAGGCCCACAGTGTTTACACGGTCAACACAGTCCACAGCCCAGACTTCAGACCGATGCTCTCTGAACAGTCAAACGCATGGATGCACAGTTATTAAACATGTAAGAGAACACTCAGTAGGGGCCGCCGAGAGTGCAAGGGGGCGTATGAGATAAACTAAAGAAGGAGGGGTGACCCAGTGACCATCATTCTCACATAGGATTGGAGGTGGAACATTGAGCTCATGAATGCATGTTTGCGTCATTTGCTGTAGTACGTTTTGCCAGCTGACCCTGCAGCTCCACAAACTCCTGGATTCAGGTTTTTTTCGTGTTTGTTCGTCAAGTGAGTGGCTTGTAGTCAGTGAGACGGTTGGTCCACAACCTCTGGACTCAAATGAATATCCCAGCAATTATTGGAAAGATTATGATGAAATGTTGTGTCCCCATCTTGACATTTATGCTCGTTAATGATTTTGCAGAAGAACTTTTCCTCAAGCACGACCAATACCTGCGATTTTTCTCATAGTTTAAACATAGCAATTGGACCTCTTGGATGAGAGGTGAAAAGTCTTCAAGGAACTCAAGCAAATCCAGCTGCTACGATTAATCTACGAGAATTACCATGACCAGGAGGACTGAGAAACTTCACAGACAATACCTGCAATATTAACAACACCCAGAGCATCATGGGGCAGATTTCCTTCACACCATACTGTCTGAAATGATTTGACAAATGACAGAGTTGTGGACATTCAAGTGCTGGCTACTGTCCTAACAGTCCGTTCTCTCTCGTCTTTTGTTGCGTCACGTCTTTGGAATAAAGCTGCATTTCAACCCTATGCAGGACTTTCATGTTGCCAGACATAGAAGGTCTTTCGGGGTCCATTGGACCCCAAGAAAGAATATGTGCAAAATATTTGTCGGTATTAATTACAGACTTTTACACTATGTTAAATACATTTTCTGATAAGTTGACGTATTTTTGGTTCCAAATGCATGACAAAAAAATCTTCAAACTAAAAAAACAATACCTGTCACCTAAACCAAATGGTCTTTAGTCCAAAAGATCCCAAAAGTCCTGCATATGGTTAAAAAATATTCTGTAGTCACTGTTCAAAGGAGTGTCTGTGTATCATGATATCTGATCATTGTCCTTTAAAGCGACACCTGATGAGGATGAACTCAAGAATTTGTTATAATCTGATCCTTTCAAAACATTTATATGTGCACAACTGCTTTAATGCAACTGTTTCCCCACCACAACAATACCAATGAGTTTTTCTCTAAATTGGAAAAAAGACCATTTGCACACTGTGTTTTATTTTTATTTAGTGCAATTAGCAAATATTCACATGCTACCATTTGCTATCCCTGAGTACAGTCAGACAGGAGGTCACTGTCATGCTAGTGGTCAATGCCCTTTTTTTCTCCTTCATTTTATTTTTAGATTCTCTAATTCAAAGCCAACTGTTTTTTTTTCCTGCTTTCAAAGAGCAAAATGCCACATAACAGTACAGAGGTGAGCAGCAGCGTGGACTCCTAAACCTTCTGTCACCCTCCCAAGTGAGAGTAAAAGCATGACTGTGCTGCTGGTCAGAGTCCTAGGACTCAGTCCATCCTGGAAAGGTTTTTACACACCCTTTATGTCAAGGCTTCCCTTTGCACATGTTCAGTCATACATCAAGACTCCAGTATTTGCGTAACCTGTGCATTAGCCTTAAACAAATACCAACATTGCCATGGGAGTAGTGGTGAAAGTTGTGGTAGCATATGTAGTTATGTCAATATATTCTACAATTTCATTTAGCAGACGCTTTTATCCGAAGCGACGTACATCTGAGAGCAGATACAACACAAGCAAGGATCTAGTCAGGAGGAAACAACCTGGATAAGAACCATTAAACAAGTTAAAATGTGAATATAATAACAATATATGAATAAAAACAATAAAACAGTGACAATAAAATAATATATTATGATCCTATATTACTGCTACTATCATTAGTATACTAATACTATACATACATTTTACCACACTACATCACAACATGGTAAGTCCCAAAAAACAAAGTCCAGAAAACCTAAAGTACGACACAACGCAGTGGTATTGTAGTACACTTCACCCCAAGTGCTATTACATAACCACATGCAGCTGTTACAGTAACTGTTAGTGCCTTCTCTGTTTTACCTTTGGCTGTTTTATCATTTCGTCATCCTATGTATCTACCAGACATCACACCAGGCCCGTGGACTTCTGAGACATTGATCGTTCTCCATTCACGGGTCACTGTTACACGACTGCTGTGTTTCGGTTAGACGGCCTCATGCAGCCTGAGCAGGAGCTGCGGTTATATAATGCACATCAAACAGAGGAGGATGCCAACTCTAACAAGGTGATATAAACCGCTTTGAAGTCTTCCATCTGTTTTCTGTTATTTCAATTGTTCTTTGCAGCTTCTTCAAGACATTGTTGAGCGATATTTTAAAATAAAACCCGACTGATTCTGATACGACAGGCAGGAAAGTGTTCAGGAAAAATCATCAACATAAAACTTGAGCGAACACTTCACAGCCTGCAAAAACACCACATGATTCTTGCTAGAAGGAGGACCTGCCTCTTGGCAACTTACCTCCGGCTATACTTTCCACCAGTAGGCAGCTTCCACTACCAATAATAGCCAAATGGGAGGAAAATTAATAGCCTGCAGCTAAGCCTTATGAGCGTTCCGCGTTTCGCTTTGCGGCCCTAAAGCATCTATTTGCGTAAGTTAATGATTAACAGCTCATTTTTCGACTAATGTTTTAAGTAAATTACAAACTGAATTCATACCCCTCATTTCTCCTCGCATATGATGCAACTCTAAATCTTCCCCTGAAACTGCCTTTGAGAACATTTTTGCCTTTTGGCCAAGTTTTCTGCAGTAGCCTATGTGGTCAGTCCGTCAGCAGTCATTTGGTCCAATAAAGACCTGTTTTTTTTTTTCTCTCTCTCTCCCTCGAGTCAAACCACAATCCCTCTCGGAGTCAGTTGTCTGCTTGGGTAATGGAAAAGGAGTATTTCTTGCTAATTCTTGCTAATTCCTTTTCCATCCACGGAGGGGCACAAGGCAGCGGTGGCAGCCACTCGAGACTTTTCGTGAACATCGCCCAGTTTGTTTTGCTTTCAACTAATACTCTGATTTTTTTTTTCTTTACTGTAAAGTACATACTGTGGGCTTTATATGATGAGAAATACAGTTCTCTTGGTCTGAAAAAATCAACTCAGCCACTTGCACCCCAAGACAAACATAGACACAACAAAAAAAGATGTAGAAAAAAGAAAAAGAGAAGAATGTTAAACATTAAATATAAAAAAAAAGGTCGCTAGAGAGCAGCCATGCTAACAACACTGTGAGGCTTTATGTGTATGCAGTGGTGCTTTAAAGCTAGAGTATGCAGGATCTGAGAAATAACAAAGGCAAGCTGGATTTTAAAAGCATGCAATTGAAAAAAAAAAAAAAACAAATAACCACCCTCCACACTCCCTGCAAAACTCATGAGCGTACACTGCCTGACGAGACTTGGAATCAATGATGTATTCAAACTACAACATGTTTCATTCACCACAACTCATAACCTTGACCCCGCAAAATAAGACAAACCTCCATAGAAGAGTGATTTTTCAAGGCCTTTGACTCCAGCAGTTGCCACCAGTGTTCATGGGTCGATGTTGACATGAGTTCAACCTCTCGCTTTATCCACATTTTTCTGGTCGTAATCTCTTCTGCCACTCTTTTAGATTTCTTACTTTGTGTTGCAGCGCAAGATGATGCAGCTTAAACTGTAAAACATGGCCGCTCTTGGTCTGTCAGAGTTCCATCTATAAGCTCTTATCCACTGTAGGAGTTTGTGGGCCGTTTAAGAGCAGCCCAAACCTTTGTTTAGTTTCCAACTGGAAGAGCTGCCTCTGTAGAAACTCTTTCAGGGGATTTGCACATCTGAAGTCTGTGGTTTTGAGCAGGCCTAACAAAAAACTGCTATGCAGGGCTTATTTACAGGACAACTATTTTCTCTGCAACATCAACAATCTAGAATTTGCCATATAGGCTAACACAACAAACCCCCCATTGTTCAATTTACTGCATGCTCACAGAACTGGAACTACTGTTTGTAGTTGTTTTGGCCCATTCGGGGTTGACTTCATGTTTAAAGTTCATGGATCCTACACCTTAATGGAAACAGAAAGGCTGAAAGGCCGAATACAGGGCTGTTATTGGAAATGTAGTCGCCATCTTGCACGTTCCTTGAGATTCCCCAATGGAAAGCTGCCTATTCAGACTGAATATAGTGATTGGATGGGTATTTACAGGCCCCTGACTGCCACAAATAACTCATTTCCTGTAATACGTTACATACTTTAGCTTTAAGCTAAATGCTAACACCAGCATGGAAGCATTCTCACAGTTACAGCGCTAACTGGTAGAGTATTTACCATGCTAGTTTAATTAGCACTAAAAAGAGGAAGAGGAGAAGTTAAGCCTATTAAAATTCATCCTGAGGGTAACATGAATGTCTGAACCATTCTATGACGATGCATTCATCACTCTTTGGGATGTTTCACTCAGAGCTTCTTCACCCTCAAGCTGACACAGGAAGAAAAGTCAGGGAATCACCAAAGCTATAACAATTAATCCTGCAGGGAACATGAATGTCTGAACTGGATTTTTATGGCAAACTATCAAAAGTATGTTGAGATATTTCAAAGGATACGATTTAAACTAAAACCTGCTGGTATTAACACACAAAAAAGTAAAATGATCTCAGAGAATCATTGTTCTCTGGGCACCATGAATTTTTTTTAACCAAATTTCCTGACAATCTATCCAATAACTGCTGAGACCTTTCACTAAAAAACAAAAACACTGGCCTCCTGATGGTGCTAGAGGAAAAATCTGAATGATATATCCTGTCTGTTTATTTGGAGAAATGAAAACTTTAACCAGCTCTTCATGTTAGAGGATGATGAGGAGATCACAAGGTTTTATCCTCTGGGGAACATGAATCACAAAGTTTTATGGTGATGCATCTTGTTGAGATATTCCACTCTCCTCCAACCTGACAAGTTTCCACTTATTCGAAGGAAATTTTCTGTAAAGGACAGGCAGCAGCAGATATGACGATGCCCTTATAAAGAGCAGAGGGAAGCCTTTTCTGGATTTATACTGGTGTCCCAGAGGAGGATGCTGGTAAGCGGCTGAAAGAGGATCCAGACGGAACGAGAGGTATGCACCAAAAGAATTAATGCCACCAAGCCTCATGCTCCCCCTCCCTGTTTACTTGATTGTAAAGGACACAGACCACATAACACTGGCTAGAGTTTCACATTCTGAAAGAGGGAAGCCTGTGAGCGACTGCACGGCCGCTGATGTTATCTGAGATGATTATGGACGCCACACGGTAGGGTGACTCTGTTTTTTTTCCTCCCAGATGCTCCATACTTTGACATGTTGTCACCAGCGTCCCACAAGAGCCGCCGTCCTTCCTCCGGCCGGCTGCACTTCTAGACTCCCATTGGCTGCTGTCTGAAGGAGTGGGTGTGGTCCTGCATGTCTAGCCTCCCACTTGTCAGTCTCGTTGGACAGGAGGCACCGTAAGAAGGCATGTTCACAAGCTCCTCCTCGCTCACTGCTCTCTCTTACACACACAGGCAAACCCAGCTTCTGTTATGGCAGGGGCTGCTCATTGGCATTTACCAAACGGCCGCGGCATGCCCCTCTCCCTGACAGCACCTCCCTGCCTTCTCAGGAGACAGACAGTCAGGCTGAACTAGCTGAGAGCAGACTGTGGTGGACTGTCTGGCAAACACACCCTCAAATCAGCAAGACAAAGTGGGGGGAAACTGCTGAACATGCCACAAGGTAAGCTCTGATACAATATTCATCTCATATCTTTCCAGCCGGCGGAGGACTGTTGGATTGGATAGTTAATCAAAGCTGAGATGCTGAACATTGACCTTGAATGTCTTCGATCAGGGACCGGCTGCTCTAAATTCAGGGTCGGGGAAAGCTTTTGACTCTGAAGTGATTTAACGAATTGTGTGGATGGGACCCCGGGGCCTTGGCAGAATACTAAACAGACTTTCAGGACAACAACTTTTGCCTTTTAAAGATTAAATGTCGAAATGTACATTACATTTTTATTACACACGCTGTGAAGAAATGCACTTGAACTGACACAAACACACACATGTTGCATGTAAACACACCCCGGAGGCAGCACACTTTCTATTTTAACCTTGCCATGTTAACATACCGCCGCTTTCTTTCCTTGCGTGAAGCCCCCACTGGCAGCTGTTTTATCCCGGGAGCTTTGGCTCCACATACCATGCAATGAGGCTTTGGATGCCACATTTGCAACTCTGACCCTGTTGCTGTTGGAGTCGGACCAGGGCAACTCCAGTGCTCCAAAAGTCCCAAGACAAAAAAAAGAGAAAAAAAACAGCATGCAAAGTGAAAAGAGATCACAGATTTCTAGGAAGTCTTTATGGAGACAGTGAGTAAAAAAAAAAGTGCCGGGGCAGGAGGAGAGGGGGGCCTTAAGTCCAAACAGTTGGCTTTGGTTCCTGAATCAACTCCGAACAGAAGACGAGGTTTAGAGTTATGCGCTGGAAAAACCACAGACTGTACAGCCAAAAAAAGTGGAGGAGAGGAATGAACTTTCCGGGAACAGAACATAGACAGTGAAACATGTGGACGTATATAAATTGTGCAGGGAGATGGACTGTGAGAAAGAAGAGGCGTGTGTGTGTGAGGCAGGTAAAGCTAGGGTGGTGTAAGCAAATAATACAAATCAGGCATGTGCACAGGAAAAACAGTTTCAAAAAGTGGTACGTGACTGCCAGGTCAGACTCATGCAAATCCATGAAAAACACCAAAAAGAATGTGCACCGATTCCACCAGTTGTAAGAAGACTGCAGCAGCTTTGTGAGGCTACCAATGTCATCTGCTGACAGGGCAAGTCGGTTGGGCAATATCTCACCTAGGAGCTGTCGCAATATTTCCGTCTAGACCAAAGCGGTGGAGCAACCAACCAACCAACCAACCAACCACGCCGACTGATGCAGCGTAGCCTGGAGCCGCAACACCAACGTGGCCGAAGATGAGCATCAAATCTGTGCTGGTGCCACCGAAAATTAACCCAGATCTTAGCTTTTGTTGATTTCTATGTTAAATATATGATGATCCCTTTGTCCCCGTGTGATAGTCAAGTCAGATCGTTGCTCCATAGGGCGGCTGATGGCCCCGATGTGTCATGATGTTTAATTTGTGGCTTCAGTAAAGAATGCTGCGGATAGGCATGTTGTGATTATGAGGTTTACGCTGATGCAGGGAGCCTAAAGGTCTGTGTGAGGAAGGACGCAGAGGAGGAGAGCAGCTGTTGTGGGAACAGAGAGATTAGAAGAACTCAAATAAAGGAAAATGGCTGCATACGCAAAAAAAACAAAAACAGTCACATTTCCGCTGACTAAAACACACCAAGCTGGAGCTGGATACAAAGGAAGCTTTGACTTAAAAAAAAAAAAAAAAACTCAAGAAAAAACACCGAGCTCCCTCTGATGCTTGACTTTGGATGAGTTCAGTGTGCGCGCTGCTGTTTTGCTGGGGCCTGTTTGGGGTAACGGGCGAATATTTTACGTTTCATTTCTTGGGTTTCCTGTGAGGTGGGCCCGACTGCTCGCTCCGAAGCACCAGACAATTAAAACCCGTGCCATGGAAATGTGGGGGGAGTTAGGCAATGGCTCCTGGGAATTGCCTAACCCCAAACGCTGCTATATTGTTTCCTCTGCGGTAACCTGGGCAGGATGAAATGCTCGGGCCTATATTTATGTGTGAGAAAAGGAGTGCTTGTGGGCAACAGCGAGCAGCTTGCGTCTCACTTTGTTTGTCAGGGAGCTGGAAATAAATCGTCTGACAATTAGCGTTTCTGTTTCTGAGTGCTGCACGTAGGGTTTTTTCTCCTTTTTTTTTGACATTTTGATTAGCCGTCGTCCATCATCTGACATTTTAAAGGAATCTCATTTTGGGAGATGTTCACTTCGACTGCTCTCCTCGGCGCCTGTCTGGCTGCTTCGTATGACGCTAAATGAATCATCTCCTGTCTGTAGCTTCATTAGCATACTGATATCTGTCATCTCATCTTTTAGTTAAGGTGAATTTCCCCTCAAAATGTGATTGAATTTTCATATTTTTCCACATAGTAGACACCTCTTACTGTGCTTAAACTATTCTTTTTTTTTCATACTCGTGGAAGAATTTCCTGAGAGTGTTTTCACTCTATTGAAGTCGAGCCAGCAGCCTGCATTCTGCACGACTGAGCCAACGGAGACTGATTGAGCTGTCTGCAGTAACAGGTGCTCCGGCGCTGACTGACAGAGTCGTGCTCGTAGTCGACACGAGGCGCTTTTCCTAATATTACAGCCTCTCCGGCTCCATTGAAACGTTTCTGGTTTTGTCTGTGGAAGTGGGAGCGCATCCACCTGACTGATCTGCTGTTAGCTCGTGTGATGAAGACATATCTGGGGCTCCCTGCCTGCGTGTGCTTTAGCTTTACACCCACATATATAAGCTAAACTTAGACTTGTCAGACGGAGGCCTGAAAGATTCCTCTCCACATCATAAAAAACCCCCTCTGGCATAACAACATACATACTGTATCGGTTACAGTGTTTAACACGTGAGGAACTGAACGTACAGTAAATACCAGTCGTGATCACATTATAAAAGATATATTCAGTAAAATAATTGTCAGTGTTGCTTTGTTTTAACAATATTTCTCAGTAAAAACTGTATATGCCAGCTAGAGTTGGGCACCAAACCTCAGTGCTTTTTGGTATTTTAGCACCAACCTGGGCGACCGTGATTAACTGAGAGGCAGAATCATTTGTTCAAGACAGGCATGAAATTCCCAATAAGAAACCAGCAGTGGTGGAGAGAAACTCAGCACATTTAACCCTATTCAGGACTTTCATGTTGCCATACGTAGAAGGTCTTTCACTGGACCCCAAGAAAAAAAATGTGCAAAATATCTGTTGGTTTTCATTACAGACTTTTATACTATGTTAAATAAATGTTCTGTTAACTTGACACATGCATGACAAATGTCCCTCTTTTTATATTTAAAAACAACACCTGTCACCTAAACCAAATGTCCTGGGGTCCAAAAGACCCCAAAAGTCCTGAATAGGGTTCATCAAATATTGAACTTAAGCACCGTTTTACTTGAGTATTTCCATTGTATGCTACTCGGTTCTTCCACTCCAGTACATTTCAGAATCCTTTCTACTCCACTACATTTAACTGACAGCTTTAGTTTCCGTCAAGATGAGTTTTTAACACAACGGATAATATAACAGGCTTATAATACGCAACACGTTGGTAAAGATTAAAGCCGTGGTTTCCACCTTCTTTGGGTTTCTGATGTCTTACAAAAAGCAGGGTGCAGTCCGGGTCACATTTCAGACGTCTACGAGTCATTCACAGCTTCACTATTTAATGACTTTTCCTTCCAAACGTCTCACATGGTTTCATTTGAGTTAATGTGCAAATGATCCAATATCTCACCAAAAATCAAAGATTAGAGAAAAACTGAAAACAGGTTTGCGTGTCAAAATGTGTTTTTTTCCCCATTTCCTCTCCCATTAATCATCTCGTATTCACTCAGATTTATCTTCTGTCCCCGTGTGCTAAGTGTGCATGAAGCAGCTCGAAGTAGCTCCACCAACAGTAACATGCTGCTGACACACTGATGAGAACTTTCACTGTAATATTTTAATTACATTTTGCTGCGAATACTTATGTACTTTTACTTAAGTAGGATTTTTCATGCAAAGACTTAAGTAAGGGATCTGAATACTTCTTACTTCAAAACCCTAAAAAGGTAGTTTTAAATGCTTTCTTAGATGTAAACTCTTCATCCATTGCTGTAAGTCATCTATATAATAATTTTGCCAATTGTAGATGGTGTTGTATTGCATTATCCCTCAAATTCAGCTCTAAAAAAATGTTGTTTGGGTCATGGAACCAGAAGTTTTATTATCATATCATCACTAGTAGTTAAAAAAGAAGTATTTAACCCTATTTATTCAGTCTTGTGTGTCTGTTTTCTCAAGATATTTACAATTTTGTGTCCTATTTTTCCATCTTAAATGACAGCCTCCACCTGTCGTGCATGCCAACACCCTGTAGGTCTGCACTTTTACAAGACGCGCTTCCCAAGTGTACATGTACATGCCTAAGTGTTTACGTCTTATTCTGTAGAAATGAGCTCATCCTTATCTGTAATTGACAGATTTGTTGTTGTTTATTTCCGACCATCAGCGAGTGTGTGAATGGCGGAGGTCAAAAATTCCCAGCAGGGCCATTCGGTGGTATTTGTCTGTTTACTGCATAGCTGACATTGCTTGGGGTTGCGGTTTGGTGGCTGCCGTGCCTCAAGAGGACAGCGAGCTGCCGCAGAGGCTGGTGGTCGGGGGGGAGAAGAGGGGAAGGGAGGGAAGAGGTGAGGACTGAAGGGAGAAGAGAGGGAAGTAGGGGAATCAGTTCTCCATCAAAGAGATGATGAAAAAAGGGAGAATCAGTAGATTAAAAGGGCAGTCGAGCTATGCTGTGTAAAAACAATACAGTCGAATGCTTTAGGTAGAATATAAGTACGGAAACGCAAGTCGGAGACAGCTCAGAATAAGTAAAATGAGAATCTGCGAGGAGACTGCAGACCTAGTAGGAGGCAGGAAGGGAGGAAAGTAGTGACTCAGAACAATGGCTGTCTGTATTTATGTCTGTAGGAGTATATTTTGCACCGCTGGCCATAGCTGCTGGGCTGAACAGTTTCAAGCTATTTTCAGCTCTCCTCCTGGATGGCAGGGCTGTAATCAAGTGAAGATCAGGCCTGCCACTGCTGAATAATAGCCGCCTGGTGCATGGAAGAAATGAAGAAGTGTGAGAAAAACAGAAATCTCCGGGAAAAGAAAAAGAATGAGGGGAAAGAATAGAGAGAAAACGTAATTGAATGTTTGTGTTTGTGCACTCTGCGCTACATGTGGGTGAATGAATAGGAGGGAGATTGTGAATGGAGCACAAAGAATTATTACAGTTCCATCTGGTCATAAAATTAAGATTGAGTCTCCCACCACAAGCACCACAGCTAAACCTCCAGTGAATGTCAGTGCCAGGATTCGTCTGTTTTCGCCCCCAGAAATCAGGCTTCATTAAATTATAATATAATCACACAATAACCACTTCTGCCACTTGTAAAAAATGCCCCAACAGCTTTTTCTTGTGTTGTTGGCTTAATTAAGTCCCCTTCTTTTATTTTGTTTGCTTTGTTAGATACCAAGGCTCCAACCAGATAATGTGACAACAAATTGTCCGGGGAGCAGAAGAGAACTAATGATGGAAGGACAAAATGGTAAACACGATTCTTCATCATGTCACAGTTCTGCTAAATGAGGCGTTTATTTGCAATACTGCTACTAAGTTTTTTGCTTTAATGTTTACAGGAAACATCTCACCTTTTAAAACAGCAGAGAACGGAGTTAAAGGGAAGCCCCCATACTCAGTAGAAACCCCTTATGGCTTCCAACTTGACCTGGACTTCCTGAAATACGTAGACGACATAGAGAAAGGCAAAACCATCAAAAGAGTTCCCATCCAGCGCCGAAGTAAGGGACCCCGCGCAAGTACCCTACCCAGGCACCTCAACCCTTCTGGGTGTGGCTATCGCCCGAGCCCCTGGGGGTCCACCGGAGCTCTTGGCCCCAGATCTCGACTGTCAGAAGCCCATCACTATGGCTACACTTCCTGGGCATACGATCACAGGCCGCCCCTCTCTCCGACAGGACTCAATTCTCTGGCAGAAATGGAGGCCAGAATCAAGGAGTTCGATGAGCAACCTCTCGGAGAGCACATCAGACCTCACCTCCTCCGTGCCTCCAGCCTGCCACTCACTGTGTTACTCAGACAGGGGTCAGAGTCCACAGATGACCCCAGCAGTCTCCGGAGTTCAAGGGATCACATCGGAGTAAGAAACACCTCATGTGAAGACGTCTTCCATTCTCTAGAAAGCCTTCGCCCACAGGACAGCTCAGGGTTGTTGAGGCGCCTGACCGAAGCCCTGGAACGAGTGGGGGAGCTGGAGATGGAGGTGAGGGTCGTTCCTGAGCTCAGGGCGCAGATCTGCATTCTCCAGGAGGAAAGGGAAAGGCTCCGTCTGGGCCTGAATCCAGACATCCATCCCTCCTCGATGAACGGAACCACAGATCCTTGTACCAACTCTCACTATGGCAAAGTGGACGCCAAAAGGCCTCGGCATGAAGGTCACATCATGTTTCCCAGAAATCACAGCGATGCCTCTAATCCTATACATGAGTGGAGGACGAGCACAGATCTGGATGAGCTGCTGACGGTGACGTCCCTGCAGGCCAAAGTAGCCGTGCTGGAGCAGAAGCTCCACGAAACCGGCCTGGAGCTCCAGAGAGTGCTGGGGATGCTGAGGGAACAGCAGGAGGAGAGCAGAAGGAAAGATGAGAAGACAGAGTACCTCATCAGGAATCCTGGGGTGTGGGTCCGGGCTGAGAGGGTGGTGGTCGAGCAGGATGGAGACGAGGCAGTGGTGAGATCCATTGAACCAGATTACAGTAAAGCCTTCATCGGTACAAGAACTGTTCCCACAAACGGTCAAAGAAGTCGCCAGCCCGACTCTGTAGTCAGTTCTGCTGAGAGAGCGTCTGTGGAAGCTGCTGATGCTTCAGCTGAGGCTACAGACACAGCAGTGGTCGTTCACCACATAGAGAAGATCAAGAGTCTCCTGGATCAGCAGTGGGAGTGTTTGTGTGCAGAGAGCAAAGGGGATAAACCTCTAAAGCACCCAGATCCCAAAGTCAACTCTCTGCAGCAGGAGATGTTGGAACTTGTCGACATCCTGACATCCCACTACAAACAGCACGGACACAGTAACGGAGAGAAGATTCAGCATGGAGGTATTGTTGATGTAATGACTAAATGATAGACATACATACATACAGACAGACAGACAGACAGACAGACAGACAGACATATCTCATGATACAGAAAGCCCCACCTTCCACAATGGTTTCTCAGGTTTGATATGTATTAAATCCTGGAAGTCTGAATCCTTGCTTTCCAGACTGTCTTCAGTGCACTGCCGTTTCAGGGCGATTGTGAAATGTGCATTTCCACTCAGAGAGGGAGCGTTCTCTTCTTGCACAGAGAAAACCAAATTGCTGTTGCGGTGGGCAGAGATGACCTTCTGTAACAGCAGCCGCTCCAGCAGAGCTGAAGCAGCCCCCCTGCTGAAGACACTCTGCTGTCTGATCAGTTGTGTAGGGGATGTGTCATACTGTCCATTGTGTTGAGCAGCTTGTGTCTGCTCCTTCTCTTCACAGCTAACTCTGGGGTCTCTAGAGCTGGCGGACCCTGGCACCGAGCCAACCTTAGTTCTTTATCGGCTTGTTTAGTTTCTTAGAGCTCTGATGTTGATGTCCCATAGGATGGCTGTGAAGACAATCAGACTGGTAGAAGATACTTTACATTTAACTGCATATATTGAGGGACCAAAGCTTTGCAAGAAGTTTAATCTGTCTTCCTGCAGAGAGCTTCAGCGCTACATTTCCTGTCCAGGCAGTCGTCTTGGTGACCATCACCTCTAATTAATAGTGTTTAGCTAGCCCTGGTCCTCCTAAAATCTACAAACACCTCCTTTGTCTTGGTCACATTCAGGAGGTTCTCTGCCTGTATCTATTCTACAGAAGTCAGTTGAAAGCAAATAATGATACTGCAAATGACTGACAATGCCCTCTTACCAGTTATTTTGATCACAGTTGCTGCAGTGAAGCAGAATCTGGTGTAGGGGCTTAATGTTAGAAAGAGACCTAATCTTAAAAACAAGAAGTCAATAGTAGTTTTCATGGCACAACAACCACATGTTGCACTGTAACATAGATCCTATAACCTACACATATGTTTTCTGAAGAATTTGTGGGGGACGAAGGGTGAGGTGATAACAGTCGCCAGACAATGAGTCATTAATTAAGGTTAACCAAAGTGCTGACAACAGGGAACATATTCAAACATGTTTTGATGGTGGCTGTCATCACTATGCTCTAAAGCTGTGGTGAACGTGTGTCTTTATTAACTTCCAACCTGAGTGATAACATTTTTATGTGTAGTTAGCAATCTGCTGTATTTAATTGGTGCACGCAACTATTCGACCCCATTTGGTTGCTTTGAATCGTTTTAATTTTCAGTCTGAGAACTTTTCCTTGTTGAAAGCGACACAAAAAAAAAAACAGCAGTCAAGATGAAAGAATGGATGTGGATGTCTAAGATGAGAAAAGATTACAGACATTCATGTTGCATTGGAAACTTTAAAATCCAACTTTTCAAGTTAAACTTTTCAAATCTCATATATTCAGCCTTTAAATCTTCTTAGTCAGGGATGTGATTTTACCCTGTGCAGAAGTCAGTGAAGTTGAAGTGAATAAGGGGCATTATTAAATACGTTTAAATGGGGTTATTCAAATTCAAGCATTGTGAGATGAGTCGGTGCGGTTCTCTGTAATAGTCCTGGAGTTATAAGCCACAGAGGAGGAATCATTTCTACAGATTCAGTCCTAAAAGCTACAGCACAAAACAGCTGCATCAGCACACGAGTAAAGGTTGATGAGAAAGTGAAGGCTTTTCAGTTGATCCAGATTCAAAGCAGGTTCTGAAAATCCTCATTGTTTACTTCAGAAAAGGCCACATCATGATATCCACTGGTGAAATTGAGACCAACAGGCAGATACAGACGGGTGACCAATCAAAGGAAAACCAACGTAAAGCGTCTTAGTCAGGTGTTGAGCCACCACACGCCATTGAAATAGCTCCAGTGCACCACAGCATTGATTCTCCAAGTCTCTGGAACTCGATTGGATGCATGAGATGATGGTTCTGGAGAACGCTGTCTCACAACTTGTTATAGATGTTCAGTTAGGTGGAGATCTGTTGATTGTGAAGGCCGTGGAATCCGATTAATGCCATTTTCGTACTCGTTAATCCTTTCGTACCCTGTTTCCACCAAAAAGAACCAGGTGCCAGTTCTGTGCCAGTGCTAGTTCCAGTGCTTAGTTGGTTCAAATCTGACACCTCCAAAGAACCGGTTGTTTTTCCATCGGTAAGGAGCCAAGCTAGAGCCACGCCATACGTCACTGCATGTTTACCGAACAATGCTAGTGCCACATGGAAGTCCACACAGGACTCCAGACTTTTATTTTTTACCTTGTCACAGGAAAAACATATGACTTGCACTACACACCGGCACAGAACTGGCACCTGGTTCTATTTGGTGGAAAAAGGTATCAGTGACCCCTTGTGCACTGTGAGTATTGTCATCCTGCAAGACAACGCTCCATTGTAGGGGTCAAGGGGTGTGGATTCACTTTGATTTGTTAGATAGATTATATGTAAACTGATGCCTGTTGTTGGTTTGGGTTTTTGTTTAGATGACGCAATGTTGTTGTGCATCTGATATTTCATCTCATCCTTTTGTCCTCCATGCAGCCTCTAAATCCATCCCGAAGACAGATGGATGGGCCAGGATGTCAAAAGACCTATATTCTGGGGGTGTTAATGAAGGGTTAGTAAATAACTCTCACTGATTTTAGAAACCTTAAAAGCTATGATTGTTGGTTGCTTGACTTGAGGTTTTGTAAGCTACTGTTGCATGGAGAAAAACATAATGATTTAAGACTGAAAGATGGATACCACTCCCTGCAAAGTGGTCACTGTCAGCGAACATTAGCCATATTCCAAAGTTTGCTTCATCCTTCTAAGTCGGAGAAGTCAGACAATAACACGGTTTATGGCTCAGTGTTGCAGTGATGTACAATATAAAATCTGTTTGGGTGTGACAAAGAAGAAACGCAGGCCTCGGGATTCATTTGTTTCGGCTTTGTTCATAAATTTGCAGCCGTTGAAGCTTTAAAACGATTGGACTGGAGTTATATTTAACATGAATAATGCATCGGCGCTCTTTTCCAAAAAGTCCTGCCTCTGAGTGAGTCAGCTCAGACATTGTGGGGAAAGTGGTTGATTGACTTTAATGTTAATTCCCGATGCTGTAAATCTGGACAATATCAAAGAGACGTTGTTTGGCAGATCCTCAGAGTTTACTGACCTCATCAGGCAAACGCATCCCGAAAATCAATGAGGCTTTCAATGTCCTGCCCCGCTTTCTTTTCGTTCCCTTTTTCTCAAGATGCAAAATGACCGCAAGTGGAAATCTGGTCGGCCAGGATGGCGTTCATGGTGATTTGGAGGAGAGGGAAAGCAGCACAAGCCCTCTGGAGATGGCTGCTGCCCAGGTGAATGCAAAGCCGGAAAGGAGAGGGACGGAGGAGGAGAGGCAAACATGGCCAGACAGACAGATGATATCTGTAAGAACAGGATCAGGGCGGACAGATGGAGGCGAAGTGTCTGTGGAAGCTGGGGTTCCAGCGAAAACGGCCAAGTTGAAAGCCCAGCCTCCAGGAGAACAGATGGAGGGCAACTCTGGCTCAGAATCAACCACCAGGGGCAGGTGAGAGAACGCCTTATCAGTATCTGTTTGCTAAATGTAATTGCACCAGTCAGGAAACCGCTCCTACTTTTAATTTCATCTCATGTGAATACATACTCCTTTCACTGGAGGCAGGTTATCTTTCTGTTCTCACCGTATTCACAAACCTGCGTGCTTTTTTCTTCTAGTGAGATAGTGAGTGCAGATTTTCTGTCTGCTTGTCACTTCCTCAAAGATCACATGGACAACATGGACAACCCCAACGACGACATGGTGAGCACTCTCGATTATTTACAGAAACTTTTAGTCCAATCTAAAGAAATATTTTATTTGATACTGAATCAGCTCACAAATACGAAAGCTGGACATAGGATCAAATGTCTGTCTTTCATGAAAATAGGGACACTCACCTACGCTTAATAGTGATCTGACTCTGCAGCTAGCATCACTTAGCTTAGCATATTTACGCACATTGTTTTGGTTCTACAGCCTGCAACATTATCGTTTTGTTTGACTCTAATTCTTCTCAACTTTCTGTAAAAAAAAAAAAAAGCTATGTAGGTAACTTGCAGGAACATTTTGCCCAATTTAGCATTTAAGTAGCCAGATATTTGCTGGTGGAGACCAAAACAGAGCTTCAAAGAAAGTGGACGCTAAATCTTTTACAAATTCTAATGAGTGAACAGAAACGAAATTCCTAATTAATGATCATTTCAGCTGTTGGACTATCAGCAGCTCATGTGCTGACAAACTCCCACACGTGGTTATTACTGCTCTAAAGCATGACTGTTTCAATTAAAGAGGATCAGCCCCACATGGACGACATGTCAGTCAGCTTCATCTTGTCAAAATCCTTCCTGTGCTCCCACCTGTTTTCCAGAGGAAGGCCCTGATCGTGTTGTTTCAGCACTGGTTCGCTGCGGCAGCCGAAGAGGCTTCTGTGGTCAGCAGGGTCTCCGTTTACCTGAAAGAAGTGAAGAAGGCGACACCTGCTCTGCTGACCTTCCTGCTCAACCTGGCAGATGACAACGGCAACACGGTGCTGCATTACAGTGTGTCCCACTGCAACTACAGCATCGTCAGCCTGCTACTGGACACAGGTGAGACATAATGTGCTGTCAGAGCTGTTATACATAGAAATAGGTGGATTCTAAGTATCAACATCTCCTCTGTGATACAGGCATGAGTGACGTGAACCTTCAGAACAACGCCGGCTACACTGCAGTGATGCTGGCCTCGCTGACGGCCCCTGATGGACCCGGTGGGATGGAGGTTATCCGCAAGCTAATGGAGCTGGGCAACATCAACATTCGCTCCAGTCAGGTACCACAACCAATGTAGAAAACTGTAACAGGAGTAAATAATGGTTGGCTTTGGTCTGGAGGGTAATGGAGATGTCAGTGAGGATGAACAGTTCCCACCACAGTTATACTCGACGCACCCACTGCTGACTGAGATTACATCTAAACCTAATACTACACAGAATATTAAAGAGTCACTCCATTGATTTAAACCATGGAAATAAGTTTGATAAACAACAGTTGCATATCACTGCTGTGGCTCTGGGACGAGCTTTTAAATGAAGAATCTGACATGAAAACAGGGCTTTTGCACAGAAAACCTGTGTTTTTAGGCACCAGACTGAGACCAGCTGGTTGCAAATGGAACCAAAAATCTGACTAAAATTTTTAATGGATCACACCTGATATTTTGCAGGTCTGTCTATATGTGTGTTGGTAGGTGGCACAGGTTATTAAAATCACCCAACTTAGATGAATCTGGCATTAAAACGCTTAATTTTACTCTTTTGAAACCACCAAATCTTTGATCACTCACCTGTTTGATTGCTATAGTAACTGAGTGGAGACTAGAGGCTTCTCTAGCTTCTCTTGTTGTAAAAAAAGAATGGTTTAAAACATTTATTTCCACTGTGTAAAAATCTTTTATAACATTTGTCCAGGAATATAGAACTAACAAAAAAGGTTCAAATGTATTATTCAGTGCCAAAAGACGTGGCGAAGGCTTTTGCATGTGACTAAATTATATGCTGGTGCACATAAATGAAAAAGTTTGGTGCACCAGTGAAACCAATCTAAAAGTTAGTCTGGAGCCTTGGTTATAAACTTAAAAGACATTTAGCAGAGAAGGTCAGAAAAAAGATGCAATTAAGAAATAATATGGGAAACAAAGGATCCAGTATTTGGAAGTTTACTGGTGGCTATAAGTCAGCATGTCTTGTTTTTTTTTGCTTTTACAGTCACCCAAGCTTTTGAAAGTGCAACGTTAAACTGCTGAAGAGTCTCTTTAAAGCTCCCTTTAAATCTCAGAGGGAGACATAAAGTAGAAATAGTGTCTTTTAAACAGTCGTCCATCTTGTGCTTCCTCCCTCTACACGCAGACGGGTCAGACGGCGTTGCACTTGGCAGTGAGACACGGCCGAGTGGTGATGGTTCGCCTGCTGCTGAGCTACGGCGCCGACGCCAACATCCAGGACAGCCAGGGCACCACGGCCCTCATGTTCGCATCCGAGAGGGGCCACACACACGTCGCAAGGCTGCTGCTGGAAAGGAGCCAGTGTGACCTGACGCTGACTGACAAGGTAACACCGCTGCTAACGAGTCCCAGAGACAATTTATTACTGACATCCTCCTCTCAGCAGAGAGAGAAAAACATCCTTTCCGAGATTGCAGAAGAAGATTAGTCTTTATTTGAACAGCCACTGATGTGAGAAGCCGCTTGCGTCACAACTGTCTGTGATCATTACACCAAAGAAATCACGGTTAATCAAACAATAATGTCTTGACACAGAAATCCTACAGGCGGCGAATACATTAAATTGAATTCTGGGACACTGAGTTCACACGATGCCTCCATTTCTCTCGTGAGCCCCTGTTAAATATGTGAACAAAATGGCACATTTTTACCTTTGTGTTCACATAACTGAGCGCCAAAAGCAGCTTAGATGTTTGAAAGCTTGAATGTGTTGACTCACACTGTGCGGACGTGGGTGGACTGACAGTCTGGATGCGGCAGAATAGAGCTTTCCCAGGATTAATCAAGGCTACAGTAAGACAAATCTCCCTGGGCTGAGATGAGCTAATCCGCTAACAGTACCTTATCTGCCAGTCTGGAGCGAGTGGAGGCAGGGGAGAGAGCAGAGGAGAGGATGCAAAGTGCGTCTTCTACTTTTGACAGCCTGCCTTTTAAGTGGAGTGAAGGAAACAAAAAAAAAAAAGCCGTGGGCATTCTACCTTGACTGTGAACCCTGTTTCACCTTGACATAAACCCAGATAATTAGACTAATTAGACTGACGAAATTAAATCTTAACCCATTTATCTTATGAACTGGAAACGCATCCTTGCTTATTCTAGGAGACTGTTAGATAAGCTAGCAGTTCTGTGAGGCTGCACTTAGCCGTAGCGGCGCTTTGAGCTAAATGGTAAGATACCCACGAAGACAAAAGCAACACGCCGATGTGAAGCAATTATGATGTTTATCCTGTTCTGCACTTTAGCTTCGCATGATAGCATCTTGCAAAAAAACACAAATGAGATTCTCATGTTGCTGCAAGGTGGCTCGGTGGTTAGTATTGCTGCCTCGCAGCTAGAAGGTCACCAGTTCGCGTCCCAGTGACGACACCTGAGATCTTTCTGTGAGGAGTTTGCATGTTCTCCCCGTACAGCGTGGGTTCTCTCCAAGTTCTCCGGCTTCCTCCCACAGTCCAAAAACATGCTGAGGTTAATTGGTGATTCTAAATTGTCCGTAGGTGTGAATGTGAGTGTGCTTGGTTGTCTGTCTCTAAGTGTAGCCCTGTGATAGACTGGTTACCTGTCCAGGTGAACCTGCCTTCACCCTGAGTCAGCTGGGACAGACTCCAGTCCCCCATGACCCTAGTGAGGATTAAGTGGTGTATAGATGATGGATGGATGGATGTTGCTGAAACAGGAAAGCAAGGGGATCACCAAAGTCAGTAGGATTCACCATCTGGGGACCACAAATCCATCCAGTAATTGTTTAAATATGTCAGACTGAGCTAACGTGGTGGATCTGTCTAGCCATGCTAATTCCTTGTCTTTTGTCCTCCAGCGGGGTCAAACTGCGCTCTCCATCGCCATGCAAGGTTCCCACACTGACACCGCCGCCCTGCTGCAGGCCCACGCTAAAGCTCGAGCTCTGTAGACGTGGAAAACCAACGAAAAGATCTGCAAACATAAAACCTTCGTTTTCACATGTGGTCTTTTCTGTCTGAGGCGCTTCGAAATGCAGACGGACGAACGTTATCTCAAGCTTCAGTCCATCATTGTAATCAGACTCTACACCATCAGTGAGGGAGGTGAAGCTCACAGGAGGGCCATGGTCGCTGGTGAATGTGCTGGTTTCTATCGTCTGGATGTTTATAGTTTTCTCTGATCTTTGCACATCCAAGTAGCAGCTTAGCTCTGCAATCTATGCAATTAAAAATATATATTTATTACGTTTATTGTTTTGGTCACATGTTAACGATTATATAAAGGTTTGAACTTATAATAAAGAACTACGTATCTGTTTTTAAGGGGAAATGACAGTTTGCGGTTTTGTTTTTGCAGCAGCTAAGCACCTTTTTAAGTAAAATGCTTGCAAAACACACCCTGCATGCCACTCAGCATGAACTTTTGGTGCCTATAATCTGTTGATACTGATGTATGCACTGTCTGTTTTTAATAAAATGGCCAAATGATGCTGCATTGTTTCAAACAAGCAAACACGCTCCGGGGCTCGCCGAGTTGTCACGGAGCATCGAAAGCTCATTCATCAGCTTTGTTGCTGTAGGTTAAAAACCTGACCAGCAGGTGGCGCAGCTCTTCCACGTCAGCCCCACCATCGCCAGCTACATCAAACATAATAACACACATACAGGAGGCAACAACATACATAAAGCTAGAATTCTAAAACGGGCATATCCGAGGGATTACATCTAATCCCTTTCAAGTGTGACAGACAATTATAGACATGACACCCACCGATTTGTGCTAATTCCACTGTGAGAGAGGACACAAATGAGATTCACCTGCACTCCAGCTGCACAGCGCCCAGGATGGTCCAGTCAGTCGTGAAAGCAGATTTGTTTGAGTGGCCTTTGTTCCCCCAAACCCCCCCTCCTCAGAGACCAGTATGGGGCAGAGCTTTGGTTTTTGCTGTGAGGATTTAAGATTATGTTTGTGAGATAAGACAAAAAAAAAAAGGATTGAAGCACAGACACGGGAAAGATGCTGAATTTCTGTCTGACAGAGCAAAGCGATTGCATTTCCCCGGAGGATTCCTTCTTCATGCCGAGCCGTCTGACCGTCCTGCTGTAATGACCCTGAGCAAATATACATCCTCAGAACGAGAGAAAGATGAAGATAAAAGCACGGAGACGCAGTAATGAAGCCAGTATAGAAACGCCCTATCAAATAAAGCAGTGTTTTGAACAGATGACCTATATGTTTGGTGACCTACAGAGTCGACCACGTTTAGAACAGCGTGTGCACGTTCCACCGATGTATAGGTGCAAAACAACCCTCCCCCACCCAAAACAGGCCTTCATGCCACAATGAACAAAGGTGTTCCTGTCAGCCTTTGTGCAGCAGTGAACATCTGTGTCACCTCTTTTGTCTGCTTCAGGCACCGGCAGACTAATAAAAAAATACTTATTGCATAATATCCTAATGGGCTGTGGTACGACAAGGAGACTGAAGGCTTTTGCCCTGCTCCGGTTTAATAATGATAATGGACTGGATTTATCTACTACTGTTTTTCTGTCTGCTGATGAATCACTTTGCCACTGGGTGAATGCAAAACACATCAGCGTGGGGGATACACGCAGCCACCGGTACGAACAGCAATGTGTAGCGGGTAACACGAGCTCGTGTTATCAAACGGAAAACAGATATTTCTGCACATTTCGCCGTCGCCACATGCGCTGAATGTTAACGAGTCACAGAAAAGGAAAAGACAGAAAGAAAACATCACAAATCTTTCTTCTTTCTTCTCGGCCTGAGCTGCAAGTTCTCAGTCAGATCGCCTGGAGATAATTTCAACGCGGGATTTAGTGGTTACAGTCGCCTCAGAGAGTGTTCTCGCGCCTTCACTTTTTTCACACTTTAGTATGATAAATTTAGCTTGACGGGATCTTGCCAGGAAGACTGAGACGAACTGCCAAAATGCAGGTTTGCAGAGCTTATAGAGACCCAAGAAGGCTGCAGCTGCTGCCAACAAAGTACTGAATTAAAGGTTTCTGAGATTTAAGACAAATATTTCTGACTACATATGCTGATTTGGTCATTATGAGTCAAACAGTGTAAATTGATAGGAAAAAAATGCGAATTTTATTCTTTTAAAATTAAATTTACAACACGGAAAAGTGCAGAAAAAGTCAATGAGTTGGAATATTTTCCAAAGCAAACTGAAAGTCAGTCATTCTGTTGTTGATGTAACTGGCAGCAGACAGGCAGCACTGGAGCTCGTATTCATTTCATGTCTTTCAGGTTATTCAAACACACTTTTAACTCGATCTTGACTAACTCCAGGTTTACGGTTGAATAGTCTTTTTTGTGAGTGAAATGACCTGGAAGTGTCTGAAGTGGCAGCCATGATAAAAGCTGGTCGAATTCGATAGACGCCAAGGAAACGGTGCTTTAATGCTTCCTTTCTCATCTCCTTAAGCGAAGGACACACTGGGTCATTCTATACCAAAAGAAAGGAGACAATGATATCTCACAGATCCATATGGCAGCCGCCTTTAAAGAGACGCACCTTCGTTGGCAGATCAATATCAACAACAAAAACTTGATGCTTTTGCTTGTGGATTCTTTTACCTTCTTCTATGTCTACACCTTTCCTTGACCTCTTGATGTTTGCCATCGACGTCAAGAAAGTGTAGATGTTTTTCTTGACTCTCTGACCACAACCCAGGGGGAGTATCAGGGTCTTTAGCTGCTAAAACACTTATAAATATTCATTGGCTGGTTGCCAACTTAGCCTGCCATTTGGTGTTCGGCAGGGTGCACGCATTCAGACTATCAGAGCGTCTTCTCCGGTAACATCTGCCCGCAGCATCTGGAAAAAGGGCGCAGTGGGACCGAATCAAACAATGAATTCGAGCCAGACGGGCAAAACGAGCCAAAGCGGGCTTTAAAGTTTCACAGAGCTGAGGGGACTTAACGGGGTCAATGAATCATTCTCTGTGTTGTCACTGTGAGCAAAACCTTTCATATTGCACACCATCATCTGACCCATCGTTTAGTCTCTGATATCTACGAGTGCAACTTTAAATTAAATCCGCTGAGTATTTACACTGTCTTGTTTAAAAGAGCCTAAAAGCATTTTATGTTTTGGGGCGTTTTTTGTGCAACTAAAAGGTCTGCAAACTTACAAAGCACAAAGCCGACACCAAAGGATTATCTCTCACAGAAAACACTGCTCCCTACCTGCCTCAACACCTTGCTGCATTTGCGTAACGTCTGCCAAGGCAGCTAGTTTGGCACGCCGTCAAACAAAGAGCTTTCTTACCGAGCGCCACTGTTTGCTTACAAGAGCTGCTTCTGCTGTCGCCGTCTCTCCGCATGCAATCGCAGACGTTGGGTTAACCGACGTTACCTCACGGGAGCAAAAACAGCGCGTCAAGGGGGAGAAAAGACGCTGCAGTAATGCATAGTGTGAGAAAAGAACCCATAATTAAAATAAAGCACCCATAAACAAATACACATTTTTTTCTCTTTGCATAGCAGGTTTGTGATCTCATACACATGCTACTGCAAAAGGTTCTTCACCTCACCAGGAAGAAAGAGACGTACCGTAAATTCTGAACTATTGGGCGCACCTGAATATAAGCCGCATCCACTGGCTTTAAAAAGAAAACTAATTTTGTACATATATAGGCTGCACTTGTCTATAAGCCCCAGGTGTCCACAAATACGTACCATGAATGCTTTTTTCCTGTAACACAGCTGGATAAGAAAATAAAAACTACAGCAGCCTACCAGGAAAAGTCATTGATCGCTATCTTCATCTTCCTCCTGCCGCTAAAACCACTTCAAGTCTTCAGTGTCGGAACCGAACAGCCTCAGAATTACTCCGTCACACACTTCCTCTCTTTCATCGTCGCTCTCAACGTCACTTTGGTCTCGAGGCAAATTCTCAAAAATCGTAAAAATCCATAAATTAGCCGTATCGTTACTTAAGCCGCTGTGCTCAAAGCGTGTGGAAAAAGTAGCAGCTTATAGTCCAGAATTTACGGTAACTCCCATTTTGGGGAAAAACTGTGCACCATATAGTCTTATATCCACAAAAACTCAAATGGTTAAGGAATTTAAAAAAGAAGAGGAAGAGGAGGTAAGCTGTTGCTGCAGGACAATGCATCCGTCCACACAGCCAGCGTGGAAGAAGCAGCCAAATGTGGCTTTGAACTGTTGCCTAGTGCATTTCACTCTCCCAACCTGCATCGTCTGACTTATTTTTGTTTCCTGCATGCTGCTGAGGAGTATCTGGAGGCTCACGTCTTCCACAAAGAGACCAGAGGGTGAAACCTGAACATCGGTAGACCGTGTTGAAAAATAAGAACCAACACGGGGATGTTTTTGGGTGAGAACTTCCCTGAAGCGCCCTCCCACGTGTGACATTTGACCAGGAAATGAAACAGCACAGACTGAGGAAATTTTCAGTCGGATTTTTATATATCAATATATAGAGATATTCAAAAGTAATCCATTACAGAAAATCAAAAAAGTGGAACCAGTTTGGTCTTAATACAGTTCATCGTTGCATGTACAGTAGTTGGCTGATCCCTGTCTGATTCATGAAAGAGCAAAATGAAAAAAAAAGTAAACAAAAAGGCACAAATAAACAAAATCATCTCATTAACACCGAGGCGGGGAAACAAAGGTGTGGGTGTCTTGTTTTTTGGGGGGGGTGGTCCATGTATTATGTGAAAGAAAGAAGGGGGTCGCGCACAGAAAGGATGCTAAATGATGCACAGCAAGAAACAACACAAACCACTTTGGTGGATAATTTCTTACAATCAGGGAATGCAGTGCTCTCCTTTGTACAAATAAATTAATATACCTGTCCACACTTTATCTAAAATCTTATGTACAGCTCGTCTTTTACATAATTATATAATACATTATCAAAACCTTTATGAAAACATATTTACAAACCAATGAATCAAAAAGCACCCTCAGAGCTTTTCCAGTGTCACACACACACACACACACACACACACACAAACACACGCTTACGTACCCGCGTTTCCACACAACTCGTCCATGCAGTACACAATACAGAAGGCATTCTAAGAGGGTTGTGCAACAAAGAGCATACAAAACAGTTCAAATATGGCTGTGGGATGAACATTAGCACACATGCATATTAATGAACACACACTCACACACACACACACACCTTTAAGGATAAACGATGGGGCTTAAACCAGCATGAAACGTGTTCACTGACGGGATCACATGACGGATCTTTTCTCGCCGCCGACTGTTCCCTCCCATGTGGCGACCGACCCAAACTGTCTGCTCGCGTATCGGGGCATCTCGGGAGGAGGACGGCAGGAATCCAGTGTGTGTGTGCGCGTGCAACGTGTGTGTGTGTGAGTGTGTGTGTGTGTGTGTGTCTCATGCCTGCAACAATGAATGGCTGCATTGTCAGTCGGCGAGCGATTATGCATGCTGTTTGTGTTTTCGGTAGGTCTCCGTCCTCTGGAGAACAGCGGGGCATGTTTTTTTGCCCCCTCCTACCCCTCTTGTGTATTCGTGTGTGCATTTGTCACAGTCAGAAGCAGGTGATCAAATGAAATTATAAACACTCTGGAGTTTTGTCAACCTCATGAAAGCGGCAGCCTATTGCTTTTCTCGAACCATTTAACTTCCAACGAGCCCGCCTCTCTTTAACCTCACATCCTGTCTGACTAAACGCTGTACGACTCCAATTTTTTCTCTTTGCTGCACTTTCCTAAAAACTCAGAAGGTCGAACAACAACCGCAACCTGAAAGACTCGCCTCTGAATCAGAGAGAAAGCTCGATATGAAATAAAAAATAAACAAATTATGTTGGCTGCACACTCCGGTAATGACATTTGTGATTGATTCTAACATGAATCTGTACAGATTGTCCCATCAACGCACGGGGCTGTCCCACTTCCAGGGCTCCTCCCCAGAGCTCCGCGGCCCACCAGGAATAACAGAAAAACCCTAAATTAACACATCAAGGACGAAGCACAATCTCTCACTAGCCCCATCACAAAATATAAGACACACAGCACACACCTCACTCCGTTATCAACGCAAAAGACTCGTAAGAGGAACCGGTCCAACTCCATCGTCCAGCTTAGGTGAAGGTCAGGAGCACATTAGCACACGTTAATAATTCTGTAAGTATTTCTCAGTGTTTACCGGAGATAAAAAATCGATCCATCTCCAGCACAGAAAAAGGTATGAAACAGTTTTTTTTGTTGTATTTTTTTGTTTTAAGAATTGCTGTTGTTCAAATGGAAACTGGCATAGGACATGGCTGTGAATGGCTGCATGTAACACTCGGTGATATGTCGTTCGTCCCTTCAGAACACTCGGTCCAAAAAGTCACCTCTGACCTCGCTGTGTGTGCGTTGTGCCTGAGCGGCCATCTTCTCCGGAGGAAGTCGCCCCCCCCTTGTCGGGTCACTTGGCGGTGGAGAGCATCGGCTGCTCCGTGTACCAGTGAGTCCCCGGGTCCGGCATGCTGCCCCCGAGCGGCAGGGCGATGAACTGCGGGCAGGTGCCGCCCCCGGCCCCGACCACCCCCATGCCCACGCCCTGCGGGTACGGGTGGTGGTGGGCGTGGTGGCCCATGGCGTCGGTCCGCCCGATGTGGATCTCGTCCTCCTCGCCCTCGCCGGTGGTTTTGCGGTAGACGGGGTTGTCGAAGTTCATGCTCTTGGTGGAGTTGCGCCGCCAGTTGCGCCACACCAGGTAGACTCCGGCGCAGACCAGGCCGAACACCACTGTGGCAACGATAGGAACTGCATGCGTTTAACACACAGCGGCGGGGGGGAACATGGGGAAGGTAGGGGGGGAGGGGGTAGCGTTAACGAGGCAGAACGAGTCCATGGCAATGAGATGACAGGCACAGAGAGGAGCAACAGGCATGCAGAGGACAGAGAGGGCAGGGGGTGGAGGGGAGGCAGCGATACAGAGGTTGTGTGTGGGTCAGAGTTGGGTCATTACACCAACCAGCTGTAGATCAGCTGCACACAGAACCGGGTTAGGAAACACTATCCTGAACTACCACTTTATCACACCGGCTCTTGGCAACTCATCTCAGCAAATCTGGCCTTGAACAATCATTTGCAATCTCATTTTTGCTTCATCAAATTACAACAAAAAGCCTCTCCTGGCATCTTTTCTCTGTTTACTGCATGTTCACCTGATTAAGAATATAATGAAAACAGGCCACCTGAACTAATTGGCTGACTCACGGCGGCAGGGATCATTCGCTTCGGTTTTATCTTTTGGTATTTGTTTCACTGCAGCCTTTTGTATTTTTCATAACCAGCGGGTGTCGAAGCAGAACAGCGGCTGGTTCGCTCAAAAGAAAATATTCTTTAGTTAACTTTACTCAACCGCTCTTCAAAGGGAGATTTTCTTTTTCTTTTTCTAGCCTTTTGAAAATCAGAAACTCACTCAGTAGTGCACCGCACGGATTAAACTTTGGGTTTATCTGGTCTAATAAGACCGCTACACAAGGTTCCACTAACTAGCCAACTACACCCAGGAGCAAGTGAGCAGCACCTGGAATACCAAACAGCTCGTCATTACCACATTACATCCAGGGTTAGATTCAAAAAGAGATCTGTTCTATCACATATACTCGTATTTCCCAGTGGGTGAAGCATGGGCGCTCTCAGAGTTTGGCCTTAATTAGCAGCTCTGTCCTCCTGGTTATTGAATTTGGGTGATTTTACGCTCTGGCAACCCCCGCAACTGAGATAATGTTGTATTTGCTAAACACCTTATTCTTCGTCCTAAAAGCTTTTTCTCGTTTTACAATAAAAGTGAGAACAAACACAGTGAATCAAGCTGTTAAATAAGGGTCATTTTTCATTGTCATTCTTAAAATAGCGGCTCAACACTGAAACAAAAGGAAGAACAAAGCTGCTTCTACATGCGTCATCAACTACAAAAAAAAAAGCAATTTTACAGTATTTTTCTGTTTTCGTTTACAAATTTCCCCCCCACACTTTTGAAATATGTAAAACTATGAAAAAATAAAGAAAAAAATACGTGAATATAGATGTCAAACAGAAGATAATGTCAAAAAACCTCAATAACGATTAACTTTCTATCATCTAAAAGTGGCTTCTTTAAGAGATGACACTGTCAAATCCAAGTCTAACACTGTAAATATATTTCAAAAATTAGACAGGATTAAAAAAACAAGTATCGGTTCTGTAATTTTTCATAGATTTCTTTGATAAATTAGAAATATCTTATATAATTTCACAAATTTTCACAAAAAAAAAGCTGAATAAATGTGTTTTGATTAGTATATATTATCTATAAGGATTATTGTCTCTCAAAATATAGTTTTTAATTCATATAAATCATTCACCATTACATCTCTCTCTCTAGATATGAAGGTAAATGTATGTATAGATAATAGATAAATATCTATAAACGGGTGATTTATTGTTTTTACATGTGTAAGTATCCTTTACTAACATTAGAAAACCAAAAAATGCACAACATCATGGAAAATTAAGGCTAGAAAATAGTGTATCTTTATGAATTTGGCCTCCCAGCTACCACAATACTGCTGCTACTACTTATTTTTACAGCGTAGCCAACATGCTGACTTTCTTCCTGGAGAATTTAGCCTCAGCCTATTAGGACGACATCTTGTACATCTATAATATGTGAACGCGCTGAATTATTTCCGCGTTTCAGCCAAATTCGTGGAGATAATGTTCGCTTAATTAGCTAGGTAGCTTCAGCTACAATAAAACCTGGCAGAAACACTTTGTCTTGCTGTGTACCTGCCAAAAATGGTAGAAAATGAGAAGCTGATTTTGTTTACTTTTGTCTGAAATCAAGGAGGTTAATAATGAAACTAAACAGACTGTGGGGCTGTAAATCTGCCACCACGGTGACGACTGTAAGCATGAAAAGATTGACCTTTTTTTCTTTTCTTCCTGATTTACATGAACCAATCGATCTTACTGCACTAAGGCAGGCTAACTACGCACAAAAGGTCTGCTGACAAGGAGTTCTTGCTGTAGCAGAACCCAACACAACAACGTCGTGTGAAGTGAACAATGCAGCGTGGCAGCGATGTCAGACGCACACAAAATGACTCCTGAGAAACCGACGCCAGGTGGACCTGCGGGCGAGGCTTCTCTCATCCTGTCACAGCAGGCTCGGTGGGAATGGACCACGAACAGATACGCTGCCCTGCAGACCGTCATTGTGGACAGACAAATACAGACAAGGAAGCTGCAGGAAGCTTACCGATGGGGATGACCACTCCTAGAACGGCCACCGTCAGGTTCTCTCCCAGGAGGAAGTGCTCGCCTCCGGCTGAGGAGAGAGAGAGAGAGAAAGTCAAGAAACGAGTGAGAAAGTGAGAAAAAGAAAAAAAAAGTGAGGAAAAGGGTGAAAGATAAGCAGGGCAGTCAGGAAAGGGTGAGTGGAGGAGAGGGGAGATAAAACAGAGAGGCGGCGTGATCATGCGTGCACGGCCGTGAGTGTTTTGCAAAGAGACGCGGTGAGAAAGAGGAAGAAGGTGAAATTGAAAGTGGGAGGGAAAGATGATGGTATTTGCCACAATCTGACCTTCACGGCACCCCTGACCTTCTGCACTCCATCTACCCAGGCTCCATTAGGCTCCAATGTCACGTCTACGCTCATTTGCATACAACATACTAACACGCTTATCTATGCGATTGCGCAGCACTCCGACGCACTCCTGCCCACACACAGCACAATTTATGGAGGGAATGACGACACCTTCAAGGTGACGGGGGACCATCCATCTCTCCTATTAAAGTCGGTTGACTGTGGTTGTTGGGGCTTGTAGATACCTCACTTTAATGTCATCATTACGGCGAGGGTGAGGTTGTTAGCTACATTATGAGTGCGAGCGGAACCATAGGATGGTGGTACTTGGCAGGAGATGAGGCCTCTCAGGTGAAAGTGGCGCTTTATCAGAGCAATGCTGATTTCTCACTAACATCCAGTCGGGCCACTCTGCCCTTTCCAAAACCACGCAGAGGACTTATGGCAGATTTAAATAACGCAGGGTTGGAGCTATTCAAGTGATATGTGTTGAAACCTGAATGTAGGACTTTGACTACAACACACATACCAGTTCCTCAGAGCTCTAAATGACAGTATTTCCATCACTGTTACAGCCTATTTTTAACTCATAACCGACTTACAGTGTTGTGAGACGCTGCTGTCCCCGGCAGGTGTGGTGGAGATGACCATAGCCGTGGCCGTGGAGTGGGAGCCCAGCGCCTTGGACTCCTGTGAGGACAGAGGCTTGAGTGTGCTGAGGGGGGTGAGGGGCTCGGGGGATCCGGAGGGAGCCGTGGTCAAGTGGGGGATGGCATCCGCCTGCGACACTCCCACCGAGGGGAGAGGGAAGTCTCCAGCGACGGTCGCTCTGGTGCCTGGTGTGAATCCGGTGGGAGGTGAGGATGTCGCCGCCATGTCGTTTCTTGGTGCTCCTGCGAGGAAAGTTAGAGCAGATAGTAAGCTCAAGAAACTGAGTTATTGTGAAAGTGTGGTTTCAAACCACTATATATGTATACTTGTGACGCACGATATTAAAACTTCTGGCTGATACAGATATTAAGATTTCTGATATCACGATAACCGATACCACCGATGTCGATATTCAATTTTTGTTCACACCGAAAAATTAGTATAAGTAAACACTGTGAGAAAACTATTCAAAAGAAGCCCAGATTAGACCACACAGTCTTCTCTATTACAAAAGTAAAACATATTTTAACATATTTAAGTCCAGGATTATTTAAGTAAAAACATCTGTGAAATAGCAGCCATATCAAACGTAGAGACGAAGGTGACAATCATTGGTTTTTCACATCAGCTAAATGTGTTCATCAGACCGATACCGATATATGGGAAAAACACTATCGGCCGATACCGATGTGGTCGCCGATATATCGTGCTTCCCAAATGTATACCTTACTTTATTTTAGCCTAAGATAAGGATCGAGCCCACAGATATCTGTAACCGATTAGTAACGGGATACCCGATTCTTTGATTACATCTGTTGTCACAAGACGTTCAACTTAAGTTTAAAATGCTGACTGTGTTTACCCCAGCTTCATCTAACACTCGCCCCGAAGTCATAGACGTCTTTATCACGGTGCCGCTTTACTAGCTAAACTCCCGCTACGCTTTCTGCTTCCCAGCACGGAAATGCACGCCTCCTTGGGTCGCTACAGTCAGAGGATCCCCCTGGTGGTACAACCAGGTACTACAATAAATCTACAATACTTGAACAGTTTACTATTTAGGAAGATTGTTTTGGGTGTTGGCAGATGCAACATACTAAAGGATTAGGTTCGAATCAAAAGCACAAAAATAAACTTGAGCGGGACATTGCTGCTATGTATAGGACATATAATATATATGCATATAGTATAAGAACATATTTTTACTTGCTGGCTTTTTCGGTTTAGATCTAATTTCAATTAGGTGTAAAGTACTAATGAGAACTCGTGTAATTTATCATGCGCAGATTCTGATTACATTTGCTTTAACAGTTTTATTTTTTCTGCTTTTTAATTGACTTAATTTATTTTATTTGACGGTTATTGAGGATCACTTCAGTCAACGTATTGTTAAATATGACTAAAGTAATCGTCCAAGTTAAATTCTATAAAATAAAATTAAAAAATATCAGTTATTCGTAGTTACAGTACAAAAATAATAAAGAATCTGTGGGCTTGTGTGGGTGTGAGTTAATCCCAGCTGACTGGAAGAGAGCCGGCGTCCCACAGCTGCCATCACTTTATGATTTAAATGCAACACAAGTAAAGAAATTTGTCGTGTGTACATAATTAGAAGCTCGGAGAAATAAATTCCCAGGGCCTTTACGTATATGTGATTCTACTGCAACTGCACAGTTAATGTACAAAATGGAATCTGCTGTTCCATTCATAATAAAACATACTAAAACATCATTGAGTTAAGAAAAAAATCAACATTTACCACTTATATGACCGTCACATAATTTGTTTCCTTTACTGGCTGCAGAACATACTTTATAAAGCTCCTTTTATTCAAAACACTTGCGTTTAATTGCATATACAGACTAATACGCAGCTTATTTAAGCCATGTGATGCATTACAAGCTATACGGAGCTGCACATCTGTACCACCGCGTTGTGTTGTTTGGCGTTACCGTGGTGCATGTTTCTGTATCCGCTCTTTGCATGTGTTGCTTAGCAACTATCGTTCTTAGTTACAGTTTCATTTACCACGTTGGAGGAAAGAGCGTGTTTAATAATTCATTATTAATTATTACCCACAACAAATGAAATATTTATTTGTTGATTTATTGTGTGCAGTCTTTCACCTTTGCAGCAAAAACACAGTAACTTTAGAACAGCAGCCGTTTAGGGCAACAACCAACAACGACAACAAATGTTTTTATTATTTTAAACTCCTCTTCCTCATTAAATGTGAATAATATGCTCATGTTTGGTAATAATTCACCAAAGAAGACAAATAACATCACCAAGTCATACATTTTTAAGCATGATTTTCCAAAATAACCCTGAATCTAGTATTTTTCATTAATTTGTATTAATCCTTTCTTGATTTTGCATTTTCTTTCTTTTATTTCATTGGTTTTACTGTAAACCGTCCAGCAGCAGCAGCCTCGCTTATGTGAAGCAGAATCTGATTATCCACACAGTAAGCACCGAGCCCGACAAATCCCTCGAGGAGTTATTGATCATTAAATGCTCTCGATTACAGCTCATTATCGGCCTCACCTGGCACGCAGCCCCTCATATCAGGCCCCAGGTCCTGTCCGTCGGGGCAGGCGCAGGTGTATTTGGGCGAGTGTTCGGTGATCTGTGGAGCCTTAAGACACAAGTACTCACAACCTCCATTGGCCACGCTGCCCAGATTACAGCTGTCAGGGCCTGGAGAGAAAAGACGGAGCCTCTGAGAATCACATAGTTATGGTTTTATAAACAAGATTATCATTCATTCAATGTAAGGAGACAGCGCAGAGCCACTGAGACACAGAAGTAGTTGCCGTTCTTTATGGTTCCCCACTGTGAGCGCAGCCGAATTCCCTTTAAACAAAGCTCATTACTTTGTGTAAGCAAAGAATACTAAGAATAAAACCTGGCAACATGCAGAAACTTGCGGTAAATATTAAGCAGTTTCTGTGCTGCTCTGCCAGGTACAACTCCAACCGAGTTCATCCCAAAGTCTTGCTTCCCAACAAAGCAGGAGTGACGAGGAAGATCAAATTGGAAAGACAGTGATGAAATAGAGTGAAAGATAAAATATAAATAAGCATGGAATATGCATTGGATGGCAGGAATGAAAACAGACAGCGACAGATATAGAAACCGACACACAAGAAAGGAAACACATGATTAACTGTTCAAAACCGGATTGTCCCGTCACAGAGAACTGGGTTGGGAGGCAGGTCTTTGACAGATGTGTGAATGTACCGCTGCTCCCGGTGCTTTGATCACTCCGGCGCAGTCGCAAGCCTCGCCATCATTTATTCATGTTGACACGGACACGCTGAAGAAACTTGGTCACAGAGGTGCAACTCAGTTCACACGATCTCAGCGACGGGAGGAAGCCAGTGTTACAGACACATGCCGAGTCGAACGTTATCTGGAAACTCACCTTGCGGCTGTCGGAGCTGGTGGAAGACGACGATGTCATGGGGGTCGTTGAGGTTCTCGGCCAGAGCATGGACGTCCTGACCGGTCAGCCTGTTGGCCATGAAGACTGCCGCCCTGTCTCTGTCTGTCCAGTAGATACGATCCTGAGACCAAGGAGGGAAACATCAGAACATGAGTCAAGCGTGGAGCGAGCCCGGGTTGAGTGGGGCTTGAACCCAACAGCACATATTGGCAGCTCCAGTGGTATGAAGGACACAATAGTAATACGAAGTGTGTCGGAAAAGTTTCAGGACTGGTGTCACAAAAGATAGATTTCAAATCCAAACTACAAACTAATCCCCCTGGAGTCTCACACTTCCCCAGCCTTCTCTGCCACGCTGCCATGCACTCCTGGAAGGATTCTTCGTCATCACAGCCATCTTGATGTCGTCCACGTCTTCTAAACGGGTCCCCTTGATGACCCCCTTGAGCTTGGAGAAGAGGAAACAATCCCACAGAGCCAGGTGGGGTGAGTAGGGAGGTTGCTCCAGCACAGAGATGTTCTTCTCAGCCAGGAGCTGTGGGATGCTCAGGGCGTTGTGAGCAGGTTGTCATGGTGAAGCAGCCACGACTGGTCCTGCCACAACTCTGCCTCTTCTCTGAACGAAGCAAACGCCGCAGGATCTCTGTGTAGACGTGCTGGTTGATCATCTGAAGGGGAAAACTGGTAGTTTGGGTTTGAAATATATCTTTTATGACACCAGTCCTGGAACGTTTCTGACACACCTCGTATTTCTAACCTTGTAACTTGTAGAAATTTGATTATTTTTTCAACTTTGGTGATGACAACAATGGCGATGATGTACTTAGCATGTGTTCACCTGGACTTATTTTTAGCCATGCTAGTGACGTAGCTGAAGGATGGTGACGTGAGCTGTCTGTTATCCCAAATATGTCAACATTAAATTAGGCACAGAAATTTAAACAAAGACTTACATTGTTTATCTGGTTTGTGCAGATGACAGCTAACCGTTGACCTTCCTTCTCTCTAGCATCAGGTTTTCACTCAGAAATATCTTGACATACAGCTGATAGACTCACATAAACCTTTCATTCATTGACATTTATGATTTCCACTTTGGTTATCCGCTGACTTTTTCTCGAGCGTCTCCTTGACATTTGTGGTTTTGATCACAGACTGCGTGTAAAAGCCGGATGTATCCTCCGTGACGTCACCTATTGGTTTGAGGACGGTTGTTTTGAAGCCTTGAGGCTGGCATTTGGACGTGGCCATCTTGGTCTTTGGAAACTCATAACTAGGACTCACAACGTGGACATAACAAGATCTGAATGAGGACTTGAGGACAGCGGCGACTTGTCAATCACAAGACAAGAACGCCGTAAAACATATCCTACTTTGTCATCTATTATTCTCTAACTGGCTCCATAATTTACTAAATGAACATCATGTTGTATTGAAGGAGACTTTGCACTTCTGGTTAAGACCATAAACTGATTTGGAAAATGTTTACTGAGCTAATAACTCAAGTGAGAAGTAGAGTCATTTACGTATAGACTTCTACAGAGTTGCAACCAGAGGAGTCGCCCTCTACTGGCTGTTTGGCAAACTGCAGGTTTCAATATGTGGGGCGTAGTAAACGTTGTCAAACCCCCTTTGCGTGAGTAAATAATGTACTTAAATTAAACTTCTTTTACTGTTAAAAAGAAACTGCGAGTGACAGAAAATGGGTGAATGAAACAGATGAGCAACTGAATTACAGCATGTGTTTAGACGACTGAAAAGAAACAAAGGGATAGAACGGAGGAGAAAGCAGAGCCGAGCCGAGAGGAAAGGCTGAATGTTGTCAATACTTGGCTGGGATTCAAGTCTAATTTATTTCCAGGGAGCGAAATAAAGAGATAAATAGGATCCAGAAGAGAAACATGAACTTAGAAATATTTGTTGACACACAAGTCGTTTTTTTTTTTTGCTGACGAGAAAGCGAGTTAATTTGGTTTTTAATTCAAATATCATGAGAGGATGAATGCATCAAGTAAATAAGAGGCTTTTATTCAATTGGAGCAGCAGTGCAATAGGAAAGAGCAGGAGCGATGCCTATTTATAGAAGAAGATGTAATCTATTATTTGATTTTCTTATTTCTGAAGGTTTCAGGCGTCTGGCATCATCTCAGTTTATCGCAGCATTAGGCCTTAAATGATTCAAACATCTTATTTGGGTCAAAATATGGCAGCTCAGAGGAAATTTTAATGCTTGGTGTTTATTAATTGATTTTTTGTTTCCTTACTCCCTTCAACAGTTTAAAAAAAAAAAAGGCAGTTTTAGACAGGAATTGACTTTTTCTTTCTTTCTTTTTTTCCCCCTCCACAGTTGCCTTAGAAACTAGTCTAATCTCCAGCAAGCGCCAGGACAATAAGCCTCGCCTCACGCATGTGTGTGTGTGTGTTTGTGTTGAGTCAGTCACTGAGTCAGAAAGAGATGGTAATGTGATGCACAAGACAACAAGCCCCACTCAATAACACTGGCGCTGGTGTATGTCCAACATGCTGAACGAGAAGGTCACCTTGTAGTCACAACAGGACAGAGATCAGAGAAGTCCCGGATCGATTATGTATTACACCAGAGGGCATTTATCCTCATCTCTGAGTTACACTACAGCGCTGGCTCAGGGTGGACCAACAGAGAACAGGAGAACATCTTCAGGGTTGGGCTTTGAGCCGCTATGTTGGAGTTTTCATTTTTAAATGCTGAAACAGTGAGACAATGGAAAGGGGTTTTGTAAAGTTTATGTGTATATCATGGCAGTCTAGAGCTTCTAATGACTCCTTTAACTCTTAATTTTCAGGGATGGAGTCATTGAAACCCATGCATCTCTTTCACAAAAGAACAATTATGCATTTTGGTTGTTTCTTAGATTTATTACAAGTCTTCAAGAAATGTGATGAAATCTGCTGCGTCAAAAATATACATACAGTAATGCTAGTATTTGATTAAATGGTCCTTGGCCATTTTCACCGCAGTTATTTGCTTTTGATAGCCATCCACAAGCTACTGAGTTCTTGACAGAAATCTTCAGTTAAACTAAGTTGGCTAAACCCTAAATCTAGCCTGATTTAGTCATTTCTTTACCACTTTTGTGATGTGTGTTTGGGGTCTTTGTCGTGTTGGAACACCTACGCCTACTTGCCAAGACTTAAAAACTTATTTTTAGACACGATAGATAATTTGGCTTGCTTTAAAAGTTATTTACTCATTTTTAGTCCTTGATTTTACAGTACAATCTTAAATTGAACATTAAAAATCTTATAAAATGTACTTGTTGCATGGACAGATATTTCATTAGTTTGAAGTCATTTTCTTCTCAAATTTAGTGTTTACATCTTCTATTTGGGCTCCCCTTTTTTGCAGTGTTACTAAGAGTCAACGTTTTGGCTGATAATTTAAGTTTTTTTCTCAAGAAAGTGGAGGTAATCCTCCTTCTTTATTTTTCCATTTACTTACCAGCCCCAGAGCATGATACTGCCACAGCCATGCTTGATGGCAGGTTTGGTGTTCTTAGACTTAAAGGCCTCACCTTCTCTCCTTTAAACATATTTGTTGTCATTTCATCTCAATTTTTGGTCCATCACACTCTACTTTTAAGCTACTTGTTTTACTATTTTATGCACTATGCATTTTATTTTACTCCAATTCTAAACTCAGTCATTTCACATAATGTGCTTCCAAGTGCATTTTGCCAATAACACTTGTATTTGAGTAAAATACGTAGTTAATTCAAGCAATTCCAGCTCTGCTTTTTACATTGTTCGATGATAAATGTAGAGCTGCGACACCTTTGCACTGTTTCAACCTTTTTCTGGCTCAAAAGACCACTTGGAACAATTCACATATACAATTCAAATTCAAGTGGGTATTTTCAAAAATCCATGCTTGTAAATCTGAACTCTCTACCTCTGGTCCCACTGAGAACATTTTCCCCTGAGAGAAATCCCACTGAGGAGTAGGCCACTAGGGTGATTGTAAACTGGCTGGCCCCAAAGCTGCAGTAGTGACAACAACTGGGATACCAGAGTTTGCAAGCAGAGGCAGGCTTTCACACAGCGACGAACATGCTCATTTTCAAAACCACACGGCAGCAGATTTGCAGGACTGTTTGGCACCGAACCAGATTTAGGTTCTCTGAAGGGCCTGACATAACACACACACACACACACACACACACACACACACTGGAAAGCTGGCTGATGACCAAAAGCATAAGTGTATGTGTTGCTTTAGACTGCTCTCCAGTCCCTATAGCTGTTTCTGTTTAGTATGCTCAGCCAGTCGGTCCCTCAAGGGAAAACAAACAGAGCATACATAAGGACATCCACCAACTGAGCGTGCAATAAATTGAATTCAACAGTCATTACGTTCAAACTCCCAGTCAGTCTGCAGGGCCCTGAGAGGCTAATGAGAGAGATGTAGATATGATGAGATGTGGGAGGCGGGATGAAACCATAGACGGCTGTCCCAAAATCCCTGAAAATCGATCGCCGAGTGTCACAATATGTGAGACTGAGATAAATCTGTGAAGCCACACAAAGAACACAACAAACCTCAAAGACAGCCAGAGCGTAGGGGTGTCCCAGTCTCTCGGCGGACGACATGTGGGTCCGGCGGTGAGCCCCGTTCAGATCCACGCTGGCTATGAGGTGCAGCTTCGAATCCACCCAGTACAGGCGCCTGTTGGCCACATCTGAGGATGCACACATGTAGACAGGACTTTCTCAAGTCGAGCAGACATTGATTGTCTTCGCGGTAAGCACTCCTGCACTCTGACCAGCAAATCCCTTTAGGTGATATTGATTGCTTTTTAAAATGTCAGATTCTCACCATCACACCGCTGCAAGTTTTACTGCGTCGATCTATAACTTCTGAAACGCTTCAAATATCATCTCAAAGCAACCGTGATGATTTTGTTAAACTCTTTCTTGCCACTACCATTAAACAGTTCCCACGCTATTTCTATTACTTTTGACCTTTACCTGCAACGTGCTCATTGAGTGCATTAGCTCCCTTTCAAGGACCGTGATTTAAACACATTTATATCCAACAAATGCCATGTAAAGTGCACCATAAAGCACCGTGTAATATAAAAATACACTCACCTAGCACATCTGTGAAATCCAATGCAATCAATACAAAAGCTGTGAAGTCTTATTTACAAAACCTCTACATGTTTAATCTCATTTATGTTCCAGTGTACTGTGACACTGCATTACATTTGAAATTGTCTCTTGCAGAGCTGTTGCATTGTCTCAGATGTCCCTTGTTTGCCTAATGAAGTGTCCAGTGAGTGCATTTACGACGTCGGGCTTTCCTCTCACCTAGAGTGATGCCGTTGGGCCATTCAATGTTATCAGCCACCAGCACCTGTCGGTCCACTCCATTCATACCGGCCTTCTCTATCTTGGCTCGTGTGCCCCAGTCTGACCAGTACATGAAGCTGGAACAAAGACGGTGTTGTGTTATTATGCAGTTGGAGCTTTAACAAAAAACACATATAAACAATACCATCATCGGCATACAAGTGTTGCACTCAATTGTATTTGTACTGTGCCCATTTCAAGACATTTGCACAGTAATGTCACGACTGTACTTTATTGCTTTATAGAGAGAAACAGGCTGCTTTAAATAAATCTCCTTCATCTTTCTACTTTGGTGATTGCAGCCCCAAACCCAACAGGATGCCACCATTTTGAAAAAAACACGGTGAGAATTTTGGCGATTTTCGGTCATTTTCGGCCATTTTCAAAATCTGTCTCCTACAGCCGAGGTCGTACACACCTGAAATTTGGCCAGCACAAACTACAGAAGGTGGTGATTAAAAGTTATTAAAACAGTCTGTAAAAGTGTGACGGCATGGAAATGACGGCCAACGGAATTTGGCCAAAACGTCATAAAACGCCATAAAACGAGACATGCTGTGTAACTGGCCTGTGCGTGCCACGATCGATCGGCCTCAAAATTTACACGCGTGCTCCCAGTGTCAGCCAGAGTGCGTTTCCACCACGTACGCCGCCGTGGCTCGCCACTAAACAGGAAGTGGCTTGTAAGTAGGCCGCACGTGCTCCGATCTGCCCGAAACTTGACACGCTGGACCTGAGCGCGTTTCTACTCAATCCCAACGTGCACGAAGGCCGACAATCGTACGACAAGGACCCGACCATCGCTGCTTGGATCTTACTTTTGTGGATTCTATTAACTTGAAATGGTATTTTGTCCCTTTAAACTACTTTTACAATTTTGGCGAATGCATTTAACATCCACGAACAAAAGGACAATAACTTCTAACAACTTGTTTTACTGTACACTAAATTATATAATTCATCCCACACCCACCCAATCGGTCGAGGCAGATGGCCGTCCCTCCCTGAGCCTGATTCTGTAGGAGGTTTTTTTTCCACCGCGGGGGTTTTCGGTTCCTTCCCACTGTTTGCGGACTGCAGAAGCTAATAGGAAATCCAAATGTTTTGGATTGTTGGGTGTTTCTGAGATGACTTGTTGTTGTAAATATGCGCTATACAAATAAAACTGAATTGAAAATTGAAATCATGTTTTACATTTTATGTTTGGGCAAAGCAAATACTTAAGTTGGAAAAACTTGAAGCTAATCTGCCTTAAAAGTGTCCCTAAACAGTTCATTTGACAGGAATCAACTGATTTAAGCACACTGAACCCAAACCAGTCCATCACTTGCTAACTTTATTTGGATAAACCAAATTCAGTTGCATGTTACCAGTTGAAGCAATTGATTGAAGTTGTCCCAACAATGCCCTTTTTTTAGTGTGTGCAGTTTTCAGCGTGCTGACATTGTTGAGGGAGGTAATTTGTTTTATGCTGCACTAACATCACCTGTCAGACAATCACTGTGTCCGGCCCTTTCATTAGACGTAAGTGGGATGCTTTGCAGACACAACACAGCGTTCTTTGGTATCCATCACAAGAGCTGCATCAGAATTCTTGCACTGGCAAAATGTAAAGAGCTGCTAGAAACTACCAAAGCAATATGCAATCAGTTGCAGTACATTTATATTTAGGACTGCAGAAATAGGCCAGGGGAGATGTCAGAAAGAGGATTTTCCAGCACAGGCGACGTTATAGTGGCGTCTGTGATTTGATGTCTGGAGGAAAAAAAACTGGCTGTAAAATCGGTGGAACTGCTTTTCTGAAGGACACGAGAGAAGGAGGAGAGATTCCTGAAACAACCAACGCTGTAGGAAACAGAGATCCGTGTCGAGTGCAGTCGGGAAGCCGTCCGTTCAGCGCCACAAAACCACAACGCGAGTAGCAGGAGCAGCAGTAATAGTCTCATCTGTCACACAAATGTTCCCAACACCTCGTCCCAGTCACCTTCTGCATGGATTGGTATATTTTTCTGGGATCAGTGCGTTGTTACTGAGCAGCTACAGTACTGCACTTTTCCATTACATCACATTACATAGAGTTTGTTTTGAAAAAATGACCAAATTGAGCTTTTTCAAGACCCTCTTTGACAAGTTTACTGCTTTATGTGATGTGATTACGGTTTAAAAATACGTCTATTAGCTCCTTCTCCCTTGTGTGTGACGATAGACGGGTCATTATTTCATAATTAGTAGTCGTGCGTTAACTTTAACAGTCTCTCTGTGATCATTCACGTCATCGGTAAATACTCTGCTAAATGAAAACCATCCCAAGTTGCGCCCTGGGTAGCGGTGATTTGTGGAGTTCTTAAACCACCGAATTCGAAAGCTGTTACGGGTACAGTTTGGATGGTTATTGGGCGATAACAGTCAGCAATCAAAGCAGCAAAACACACAACGGTTTAGTCATTTCTATGTAAATGTTTATTACCGACATCCAGAGACAGAGCTGCTATTTGGTGTCGCAGTGAGCATTCTGGGTGAGCTTAGAGTCCCGCGGTGCTGCTGTGATTGGGTCTGTGTGTTTGTGTGTGACTCGGTTTAGGCTTATGCGTCGGTTCGTTTTATTTTTGGGGCGTGTTTGTTCTCATCTGGGTTTGGATCGCCGGAATACAAAAGCTACACAAGCTGGCAGGATTTCAGACAGCTTCTCAGATTAGGAGCGATCATCTAGGACAGAATTTTAAAAAAAAAACAAAACTATTGAGTCAGGGTGCTAAATGGGTCACAGGCTCGTTACACTGGATTCTCTCACTGTATGCTCGTTTAGTCGATGTGGTCCCAGAAGAGGATTATGTATATTCAATTTCTGGGCTGAAATCACTTAAATCTTTATCTGAGGTCATCTTCAAGGAAAAAAAAAAGATATTGAGGATATAAACCGAGTTTGACACCGTTTTATGCTGACTTGCTGTAAATTGTTATGGAAATTCACAGCATGCGGCTCTACAATTTGCATCTTCTTCTGCGAAATTAGAAGTGCAAGTCAGTGGTTTCTTTCACTAAAGAGATAACCGGTTACTGATGATGATTATCGATTCCACCGCCTAGATCGTTAGCGCTGGGTGTAGCCTAACGACAGGTCATTGATCGGCTGCTGCGAAGGGAAACACGCCTCACCCGTGGTGGGGGTCCAGTGCTATGGCCCGGGGCTCGCTCAGGTCGGTGTTGATGAGGACGCGTCTCTTGGTGCCGTCCACCGAGGCCACGGAGATGGATTTGTCCCCGGAGTCGGTCCAGTACAGGTTGTGCTGGAGCCAGTCCAGGGCGAGGCCCACCGGGGTCTGCAGGGACGAATCCACCAGCAGCACCTGCTGGGACGGGTCGCTGGCCTCGTGGATGAAGGCGCTGCAGATTCAGATTCAGAAAAGTATTTAAAAAGGCACGAAGAGCAAACAAAAAAATCTCAGTAACATACTCATGCAAATACAGATAAATGGGAGGAAGGAAGGGCAAGATGTGGGAGGCGGTATTTTTTTTTAGTGGATGAGAATATATAAAGAATAATGTACCGCAAACCAGCCGCTACTGTAAAAACAGATGCGAAGTGGAGGGATGTTGACTGTCTGGCAGACCCTATTTTGTGATAATGAGTCTGTATGCGCCATCCTTCACATTGCATGGCACCCTATCCAGAGATTTATCATTTTAAAATATTGATTTTCAGCGGCTGCATCACGAGCCAAAGCATCTCAGAGACTCCTTCGAGAGAGCAGATTAGCACGGACTAGACGCCAACTATAGAAAAATAACCGCTATTATATATGCCAGAGTAAAATTATGGAGTAGTGAGCGTGCCAAATGACAAAAACTAATCAATAAAAGAATAATGAAAAAAAGTGGGAAAAAAGAAGAAAAAATAAAATAAAAAATAAATATTGTGGCAATATTAATTAAAAACAAATCCATAAAAGAAAAGGCTAATAAAAGTAGAAATATAAAGACAAATAAATAAAATAATAAAATAATAATACATTTTAAATTATTTTTAACTATTTTATTTAGGTTTTTTTTTTAAAAATTGTTTTATTATTATAAGGAAATATGTGCAGAAAAATGACATTCCTACTGCGCACATTTTTCTGCGTATATTTCCTTTGTTTTTAAAGTGACATTATAAAAAAATAAAATATGAAATAAAAATAAAAATGAAAAAAATCATGATAAAAACACAATAAAATAATAAAAGAAAAACATGAAATTTTAAAATTTAAAACATTTTTAAAAATAAAAAATTTAAAAACAAATAAATGTAAAAAAATAAAAAACAAGAATATATATAAACAAAAATTATTATTATTTGTATTACTCTATTCTTTTGGTCTTTATGTTGCTAGTTTAATTAGCATCTTCTTTTATGGATTCATTTCTGACTAATATTGTCAAAATATATATTTTTAATTCTATTTATTCTTCTTTTTATTTTCACTTTTATTTCATTATTCTTTTATTGATTTATTTTTGTCATGTGGCACTCTCACTACTCCATATAAAATGAGTAATAATCACAAATAAATAAATGAATGAATGAAGGACAATGCAATTTGATAGCCTGTCTGTTTGTCCAAAGAACACCTCAGTTCGATAAACCGTGTGAGTGGAAACAGGTGAATGCACGAGCAGGACAATCAGCGAGATGAGCTGCTCTCCTCCACATTACGTCTGATGAATTCCGATGTGTGTAATTCTGGGCTGTGAGTGAAGCCACTGCAGAGCGCAGGATGGGGTTTGGTGTGAGAGGGATAGCCTTGGGCAGGTTCATCCGGGGGTTAGTGTCCTTCTTCCGTGGACCACTTATCAGAATAGACAAGGCCTCACTCAGGCTTCGCCCTGCTCACTAATGATTTGGCCCCGGCAGAGGTGTGAGGCGAGGGCAGGGCAGCCGTGCTCCCGAACAGGAATTTCAATTTCAGCTTCCCTGGAGATCTTCTTCTTCTTTTCTTTTTTCTTTTTTTCTCTTAACATTCATTTTATAAAAGGAACACAGTGCTCCAATTAGGATGCACTCTGGGGAGGAAAACGTAGTCGGATAACAATAGGAAGGGTGGAATTAATCTGGAATGATAGCGGCTGAGTTGATTAAATGTTAAAAACATCAAAAGAGATGCGGGTTAAACAAATCGAGCGTCTGGAAAAGGCAGCTGAAAATCAGATGTTTGACAAACACAGGTGGCGGGTCAAGAGCTGTCACGTGTTCCAGGGTTCATCCATGGAAATATTTAAATGATGATATTTTAAATTTACATCCATAGTCATTCACAAACTGAAACATCCAGAAAGCTCAGCTGCACACACAAAAGATGATAAACATTTGAAAGTGTGCTGAAGTTGTGTAGGACTTATAGAAGTTTAAAACATCTCACAAAAAAAAGTCTTATGTGAAGTACCGATGAAGCAGATCAGGAGAGCAACGAAAAAGAGTTCATTCATGTTCTGCTGAGGCCTCTGATCTAAACTCAGGCTTGTGATTAAAACTAAAGGTCAATGGCGACACTCAATGGTTTTATGAGTAGGTCTCCGTTTTGTTCACACGGCGTCCTCGCACATTTGAGTGGAAACTGCTCTGCTCCTGGTTTCATTCTGTTGCACTGATCTAAAGCGGTGGTTGACTCATATTTAGCATTTTTGTAATTATCAGTAATGTCATTTTTTCTTAACTGATTCTTGATTATATAAAACAGCCACCTCTCTCTGTCTGTAGTCGCCCACAACACGATTTGAGTCCAGGTGGATGAACACTAAAGAACAAATTTAAACTAAAGTAAGCGTCGGAGTTTGTGCCATTCAACGTTTGCATTTTAATAAACTGGTTCCAAATATCAGGTATCGTCTCCTTGATTACTAATAATCAGCATCGGCCCTGAAAAAAAAAAACATTGTTGACCCCGAATCAAAGCTTTTTGGTGATAATGTGCCAAGAAATGTACCATAAATCACACGCTTTGAACACTGCGGCTTAAACAACAATGCGGCTAATTTATGGATTTTTACAAATTTGCCTCGAGACCAAAGTGACGTCGAGAGCGACGACGACAGAGAGACAGAGGAAGCGTGTGACGAAGTAATTCTGACACTGAAGAAGACAACTTTAGTGGTTTCAGTGCAGGAGGAAGATGAAGATCGAAGCGAAGCGATCGATGACTTTTCCTGGTAGGATGCTGTAGTTTTTATTTTCTTAACCAGCCGTGTTACAGGAAAAAGCATTTACGTATATGTGTGTGTGACCGGTATTTAATTAAAAGTTTTAAAAAAATCTTTCTGTGTAAACATCTCATGTTACAATGTGGGTGCAGCTTATATTCAGGTGCCTCCATAGTCTGGGAATTACGGTAAGACTGAACCAACAAAGGCAGAAGAAGAAGAAAACAAGTGAAGAGTGATGTTGAGTAAGAAGCTTGAAACAATGACGTTAGTAGTCTACTCCGAGCTCAGTTTCCTGTTCTCGGCTTACCTGTAGATTTTGCGGTGAAAGCGATCGCACCAGAAGACCCGGTTGTTGGCCACATCCAGATCCAGGGCCACGGCGTTCTTCTGCGTGGACACGACCTGGCTGTAGTCCCTCTTCACCAAGTCGATGCGTCGGATCTCGTGCCGGTTGGTGAACAGTAAATAAGGGCTTTTCCCTGCGTGCAGAGAAGAGAATCAAAATATGAATGAGCAGCACACAGAGCAAAAGAAAGTTTTAGTGCACGGCAGTTTATAAATGGGGCTTCAGCAGGATGAAAACACTGTTGGAGTTGGGCTTCATTAATGCGCGGAGGAATCGGCTTCGACAGTTCGGTCGTGGGCGAGACGAAGGGTTCAAGCCGGTGTGCTCTTATTAGAAAGCTGCTCACACAGTCTCCCAGATCATCGGCACACGGCGCATTAATACGTTTCAAATGAAGCAGCGAGCGCAGTGTCTTAAACTGGTTTAACCTTTTCCCCCTGTGGGATCAATTTCTTAGAATATTATAGAAAATACTGGAAGAAATAATCCACCGTACCTACTGCAATGTCAATAGTGAAACTCAAAATGTACAAAACGAGGGAAGGGACGGAGACGTTTGTCTGCTGGACACGCTGAACGTCGAGGAATGATTTAGACATTCCTCCATCGAGGCTTCAATGCAACAAGTCAATACTTAAATATCACCTTTTTTCGCAAGCTTGCGTGATGCTGCTCGATACCCCGGCCTAACAAGAGTGCAGGGACAATAATCCTTCATTAAAAACAGCTGAATAGTTGGCGTATCGACCAGCGTGTCCGTATGCATCATTAAGTTGTACATCCCTTATTATCTTCTCTTTGCATTTATAGATCAGAGCAGCCTTCACATCCGCTCTAAACAGCAAGCTGCCAACTTCTATACAGACTAAACAGACACTAAAAGAATAGTAGTGTCCACTCAGGGCAGATGAACAACCCACAGACTCCCTGTTCAGTCTTAGAGGGCAACAACGATCGCTCACTCAGTTCCCTCTGCAGCGATGCAACGGAATAATGTCAGGACACCCAATTTAGGCTCCTGTTCTCGTGCTGCCCAAACAAATATCCTGCCAAATAGGAATACAGGAAGTCCCAGAGCCTCTTCTTTATGAAATAATATACATTAAACAGGTTTTATGGAAACGTTCATATTTCAGCACCAGCGTTGGTTTGTAAATATCACGACGCCTTCAGATGACTGAGGCACAAAAGTCACTCGTTCGTTTTGTCTCTTCATATTTTACTACTTTTCAATATATTTGTTGTCCATCCATCCATCCATCATCTATACACCGCTTAATCCTCACTTGGGTCGAAGCAGGTTCACCTGGACAGGTAACCAGTCTATCACAGGGTTACACTTAGAGACAGACAACCAAGCACACTCACATTCACACCTACGGACAATTTACAATCACCAATTAACCTCAGCATGTTTCTGGACTGTAGGAGGAAGCTGGAGAACCCGGAGAGAACCCACACTGCACAGGGAGAACATGGAGACTCCACGCAGAAAGATCCCGGGTGTCCTCACCGGGACGTGAACCGGCGACCTTCAAGCTGCGAGGCAACAGTGCTAACCACTGAGACACCTTCCAGCCCCTATAAGTATTACTATTAACATAATTTTATTTTATTTTTTAACTTATTGCTGCACATAATCTGCTGCTGTCACCCACCTTTTTGTGTGTTGTTTTTCTTTCTTTTGCTCATTGCCCACCTAATCGCCCCTCTGGGACAAGTAAAGTTTTTCCTGATTCTGATCTCTCATCGTCGTTTCATTTCTGTTCCAATCTGAAATAAATATGCAGCTTCACTGCAGCGACGTCAGACTCTGCAACAGGCCAGATTGATGAGGCTCATTATTAATAAATGGAATCCGGGTTTTGACAAAATGTTAATCGACGGCGTTGTGCTCGTTTGCGCGTGTGGCACAACAGCAGTAACCTCATTAATTAATTATAATTAGCCAATAAATTATCCCAGAGAGCGGAGACGGTCGATCAGAATCTAATGGCTGCGTGTACAGTTGTTCACCTCAGACAGGTGAAGCGTCACACACACACACACACACACACACACACACACACACACACACACACACACACACACACACTTCATCAGCTGCCGTCTGATCATCTGTAACGCAGCCGACGTCCTCGAGTCCTGAATGCCACCGCAGCAGCAGCCGGGATATTTTTTATTTCACTCTCAGCAAAGGTCTGATCTGTTTACACTTGACGGGAAAAAATATTTTTCCATCAAGTTGAGTGTTTAATTACTGAGATTTTCACAAACTCACAGCAGGATGTGGTGTATTATTGTGCATATGAAAGCTTCTCATAGCTACATATAGCCTCTAATCGTTAAAGCAGCAGGTTGCCTAGGAACAATGAAACCACATCTTATTAAACCATAACTTGTCATCAACATTTAGGAAACATTAAACAAACCAAACAAAAGGTGGCGTCAGCTCCACAGAAGAGCTGATTTTTATTTTTTATAGATGAACCTCTTCCCCTCAGTGACCCAATAACATCTGTTCTGCTGAGGTCACTTCACCCACATTACAATTAAATTAGATTGCTATTAATAAAATAAGCATCACATTAAAAGAAGAAGTTAGTAACCCCGGTTATGACCAAACATACCAGCACTGTGCACACACGGGCAGCTGAGGAAATGCAGGACTCATCTGGCAGAATGCAGCCAATGTGATTACTAATGATTAGATTTTCCATCCCCACTCTCATCTGATTTTATCAGCAGGGAAAGCGTGACCCCTACAAGCCACGACAAGATGTCTGCAGCCACGTTAGCAGCTCCGGGCTTCGACATGCTAACACCACGACAACGCTGAAGCTAAACAGGGACAATATTTAACAACTTCATCGTCTTAGTTTATCACCTTGGCATGCTAATTGACATGACATTCATTATTTACTTCAATAAATGTAAGATAATAACTTTAAAATTTAAAAAAAGTTAATGGCAGCGTGAACACATAAGCCTGATATGAGTAAACTACATAAAAATGCATAAAAAGTACATGAAACAAGCCGAAAAAGAGAAGTTTTGAGGTTTCTCTTGATGCCATCTAGTGAAAAAGATGCTCCGACCTGCAGACCAGAGTCCTAGAACCAATATCCATCCATTATCTCTACACCTTAATCCAACCAAGCACACTCACATTCACACCTATGGACAATTTACAATCACCAATTAACCTCAGCATGTTTCTGGACTGTGGGAGGAAGCCAGAGAACCCGGAGAACATGGAGACTCCACGCAGAAAGATCCCAGGTGTCCTCACCGGTGACCTTCTTGCTGCGAGGCGACAGTGCTAACCACTGAACCAACATATTAGATAAATAGCTAGAAGAAGCTGGAGCAATTACAGATTTAAAAACTAAAAGCAAAACCAAAAGAACTCTAAAACAAACAGGGAGCTAATGAAGAGCCTTGAAACTGGACCAATGCCCTCTCTACGGTTAGTTCTCATGTGTATTTTGGATCGTCTGAAGTTTGTTTAAAGGTTCCTTCGGGAGGCCAGAAAATAGAGCATTTTAATAGTAAAGTCTGCTACAAAATAAAAGCATGAAGGAGTCTTTTGCTGCCTTCATTTAGTCGTAAACCAAACCACTGGACAAGAATGTGTGAGATGGTGTGACTTTATGGTGGTCGATCAAATAGTTGTTGATACGTTTCACAAAACCATAAACCTGCTGGTGGCACAATTCATGGAAAAGGCAGCTCGTTGAGTTGTTTCAGTCTGAAGCAAAGCAGTCAGGAGTCATGACCAAAAATATGCTTACTAAAGAGGACAGGAGTGGATATTTGCATCCTGACAAAACATTACAAAGTCGACTTCTGTCATCGATCTCAGCTGCAGACTGTAGTCCTGTCAGGCTATTAGCAGACACCGTAGTTAACACCGCGTCCTTGTTTTCTTTAGGGTGCATTCAGGCCTATTTTTAGAGTTGTCTGCTTTTGATAAGGTCGCCGAGGCTGCATGTTAATCAGAACTACATCCAACAGGGGTCTTAGATGCAATTTATATTAAATCTTTACGTCGATTTCCTCCTAATTCTGACAGGAAAAGTCAAGCAGGGTACAGTGACGCCGTGTGCCTGCAGGGAGGCTTTTATCCGTCTGGGTAGCAACTCCAGCCCACCTTTGTCTTGTAACATCTAAACTGAGCCTATCACTGTGTGACACTGTATGGTAATAGGACGGCAGCAGCAGCCAGTTATCTCTGGAGGCAGATATGAGATTCTCTCATTAACGGCTCGCTTGCCTCAGTTTCCCTTTTGACAGTCGGTGTCGTAGCCTCATTGTAGTATCGTCCTCCTGCGCGTTCCCTCTATCTACCCTTTCGCTTCCAGCCTCGAACTCTGAATGATGACAGCGCTGCTCGGGACTAAGTGCTCTCAAAAAGCGGCCATTACAATGACAACATTTCCAACCCCTCTAAAGGGGAAAATGCTCCCCTGCTGCTTTTATGGCCTGTCACGGCAGCAGCAGTTTTCATTGCCTCGGAAAAAAAAAAAACACGCTGCAGCAATCACCGCGATTCTGCTTTTGACACACAGCCAGACGCACGATTCTCTCTTGGCCACGATCAACTGATAGCAAACACGCTGGGCAGCCATGCACGAGGAAGCACACGAGTGTAGACTAGAGGCGAAGGGGAGGAGAGGGGGGCCGACACGAACGCAAACACACACATGCAAATGCTGAGCTTTGATATGAGCTCAGTTTAATTGAGGAAAATTAAATCGCAGCATTCGACAGCCACGGGGACCGAATCAACACATTTTATTTGACTCACTGTTTCCTGCCAATTAGATAATGAAAATTTGGGGGGAAATGGAGTGTAAACATATACAACGGCCTCCGTGTGTAATCCTCTCGCTAATAAGCTTCCGGCCGTAGTTGGAGGTCAAAGAAAAGGAAGCGGCCTCCGAGCAGTTCACCGTGCTCTCCACTAGTCAGACGAGCCGCTCTCAACGAGCCTAACGGGAGGCCGAATTAAACTGATGTAATTAGCCTCCGCCGTGACTTCGCCAGGTACCCCCGAAGAGCTGCTGCACCTAATTATAAGCGTTCGGCTTGGCTAAACACGCCGGCCTGTCACTCACTAAACCGTCTGACGGGGCCTCGGAGGAAGCGGTTGCCTCGGTGATGTTTGCATGTTTTAGCCGTTATGTCATCTGCAGAGTAACGATAAGAACAGAGCAGCAGAAAGATGCTTTTTTTTCGATTGTGAGCAGACGTTACAGCAAAGGCAATCGCTGCAGTAGTTATTCGGTGTCTTGTTATTGATAACACAGCAGCTTTAGATGATGTTAAACTTGTTTACCGGCAGCCATGTGGGTTATAACAAGCGTAAAATTAAAAAGAACATGAAGCTTAATGAACAAAAACCCAACACCTTTCGAACCTCTGATCAGACTTTGATTACCGTAATTTCCAGACTATAAGCCGCTACTTTTTTCACATGCTTTGAACATTGCGGCTTAAACAATGACTAATTTATGGATTTTTACAAATTTGCCTCGAGACCAAAGTGGCACTGAGCGCAACGACGAAAGAGAGACTGAGGCCTCGTCCACACGCAGCAGAGTATCTCCAAAACGAAGATATTTTTCTACGATGCTTCCTGTCATCCACACGAAAACGCAGATTTACGGCATTAAAAACGATTCTTTAAAAATCCTCCGACCATAGTGAAGATTTGCAAATCCTACGTTTATGCATCTGCATGTGGACATCAGTAACCGGGGTTTTGGGTTTCAAAACGTCACTGCTTGCGACAACACATGTTCTTTACGTCATACACGCGACCTGTGTTTACATTTGGAAACAGTGTGGATGCTCTCAGAACTGTGTTGGCATTGTCTCTGGTCCAGGCCCAGATACTGCTCCACGTACAAGAACACAGGCGAAGGACGATGTTAAGGATGGTTACTTTCCACCACTTCGCCATTCCACGTCCGAGGCATGTTCTCCGTCAGAGACACCGACACTGGTTTTGGGTCAGACCGGGACCCACTGCCGGCTGGTGGGAGAACTTTGAGACGGAAATCGTGCTCCCGGAGGAACGTGTGACAGTTTCCGTATGTCCTGGTCGTCGTCGTCGGAGTTATTACATCCTCACGTAGAATATGAATGTGCTCGACAACGCACTAATGCGGTTAGGTGTGGATGAATTCTTTTCTAAATACGAGGTGGTGTGTACAGAAGTTTTTTTCTAGACGGAGGGGGCAGGATATTCGGTTTTACAAAAACCCTGCTACGTGTGGACGAGGCCTGAGGAAGTGTGTGACGAAGTAATTCTGAGGCTGTTGCAACACTGAAGAAGACGACTTTCGTGGTTTTAGTGCGCAGGAGAAGATGAAGATAGCGATCAATGACTTTTCCTGGTAGGCTGCTGTATATTTTATTTTCTTAACCAGCCGTGTTATAGGCACTGTTCAGAAAAAAGCATTTTTGTGTATGTTACCGGTACGTATTCAATTAAAAGCTGAAAAAAATCTTTCTGTGTAAATATCTCATTTTATAACATGGACACCTGCAGCTTATAGACAAGTGCGGCTTGTATGTGTACACATTTTTTAGTGGGTGTGGCTCAACTGTCCGAATATTACAGTAATCAATGTTTCTCTTTGTTTTTTAGCTTCAAAACACAAACCCTTGATTTAAATCTTCTTTTCTCAGCCACCTTGAATTTACGCCGTCGATCACCGATCACCATAACTCACCTTCTGCCTTGCAGGTCTTAGTGACGGGGTCCATCTCGTATCCTTCATAGCATTCGCACTTAAAGTCCCCCTTGTAGTTTATGCAGATCTGGCTACAGGCGTCGGGGTTCTCACACTCGTCAATGTCTGCAAGGGAGGAGAGCGAAGAGCGGTTATCAATCAACCAGGAGACAAAGAGAGACAGTCAGGCGGCGACGGCGAGTGACAGATTCACCCCTCGTGAGCTGTGACAGATAAGACTGAGAAACTAAATTCCTGAAATGCAAATATAGCGGCGCTTTTCGGAGAAATGACAGCCGTAATGAGAGAGTAGATGTGTTTTTTCAGAAAGCAAGTGATGGAGAAACAGGAAGTCCATGGGGAGACGGGGGGTGCGTCCCCGTCGACTTCTCCTGACCTGCTTTTTCTTTCCTTGGGTGTGATGGGGAAGTGTCGGTGTTAAAATGATGGGGAAGGGTGTGAAGGACACACTATAGGCATGTAGCTTCCCTCTGGGAGTGGCACGAGGACAGAGCTGGAGAGCTGCTGGATTTAACTTGGCCTGCCTCTCCAAACGTCTATCTAAGTGAAATAGAAGCGTCTTTATTTACCTCCACACGTTTTCTTGTCCAGCAGCTGGTAGCCGGTGGGGCACTGGCACTCGAAGCCGATCGGTCGGTCCATGCAGACGTGGGAGCAGCCGCCATTGTTGATCATACACTCATTGAGCCCTGGGAAACAAACACAGCGGTCAATCGCAGAAGAGACGGGGATGTTGTGGTCACCCAGCGGGTCAGAATCTGGCTCTGCTTTTACCCTTTAGTCTAATGGCTTGTGATATTTCGCAGCGTAAACATGTGTGGCACAAAGGTGGAGAAAATCATCTCCGTTTTATCTCGGCTTTTACTCTCGGCTCATTCCCAGCCTTCTCTGAATCCTTATCAGATGTTCTCCAAAGGAAAGAGGGAATCAAAGAGACACACGTTGTGAAGCTCATAACCCAGGAATCGGGTCCATCTGCGGGGATATGAAATATGTTTGGAGGGATTGACGCTCCGTAAGGATCCGTCTCAGGAGTGAGGGAGGACATGCAAACGAGGCAGAGTGATCCTAAAAATGACAGAAGCTGAAGAAGGAAGAAAAAAAAAACCCCAACACGCTCTCTTTTGAAAGTAGGTCAAAGCATCTGGCACAAGGTTGGCACGAAATCAAGAGCGAAGAGGTAGTTGGGTTTGATTGTGCAGCGTAATTTGCTTTTACAGAACGCGTTAGCTGATAGTAAAAAGATAGCAGAAAGTCATTGGCTGAAATTGCCGGCTCAGTTTTTCCAATTTCCTCCTTTTTCGATGCAGCCGGGAGGTAAACTCTCATCATAATCATGCAGCCGCTGCTTTTGTACCATTTCCCTGTTGCAATAATGGCATTTGTTAGGAACATGCATGAATTATTTGTAAAGGTCTTAACACACTTTTCTGTCCATGTTTGGTTACAAAAAAAAAGTCTGTTGTCTCAATGAATCACAGAGGGCGAGATAACTGAGTAAAAGCTAAGATCAGTAGAAAAAAAAAATCTTTCATTCAGCAGCATGCAGGCTTTTGCTTTTCACACAAACAATGAAGAAAGGCTGCACAATGGATGACTGGGAATAGGTGATAAGGGACAAAATGGATTCAACTGCAAGAGAAACCCCAACAGGAGACCGTCTAATTATGTCGGTACTGAAGCTACCCAACGTAGCATTACACCGCTTTCAATAATCAGTCAGGTTCATATCATCAGCAATTAAAAGCAAACATCTGCCTACTTAGAAATTTGGCGTGGGTTATTTGGAATCGTGTTTCCGGCCAGTCAAACTGCCCTTTTAGCTCTGCTTCTGGTCAACGCTCTTTAGCTGCTAAATGCTTCACATATGTTCATCAGCGAGTCCTGAACTCTCACTGTCAGCTGTTTCATTACTGTTTAAGTCAGATCTGCTACTGGTAACCTGCAATCCAGTACTACCTGCTTCAGGGTCGACTCACCGGTGACCAACTCCCACCAGTCCCCCTCTGGGGCTGGTGGAAACAAAAACAAGAGTCATCAAAGGGCGTCGGCCATCTAGCAAAAAAAACAGAAGACTGGACCAGGTGGACTGCGCGGAAGAAACCACCAGACTGTTTCAGACCCAGCAAGCATCATGGACCATAACCAGAGCATCATGAGACACAGGACACTGGTGGCCATCCACTGCATCCTCACCTATCTCCAATTGTCTTGGCCACATCATGCCACTAGGGCAGGGTAACATGGCCAAAAATATTTATCACGATATAAATGAGAAGATTTGGGATACAACTGATGCTAGACAAAATACTTCAGAACTGCACAATTTTATTGGTGCAAATAAGAAATTAAAAAGAATTTCTTTTTCATTTATCAAGCAGCTGTTTTGATGTGCATTAAAGCTATAATGTACCAAAATCAACAGTGCATAAGTTGTAACTAGCTTGCTGACAATTAGTTTAATCAAAAGGCATTTCAAATGGAGATGGGCTGACAGATCCTGACCATAACAGTGCATAGTATCCACAAAAGTAGAGTTGTTTCGCGACATAAAATTTTGCGGGGGGGAGGGGGGGGGTATAGCGGCAGGCAAATATTCTGATTGACGGGGTGGAAGTGGGCGGGACGTACAGGCAGTACTTGGCTAGTAATGCCAGTTTAGGATAGTGGTCACAGTTCTGTTTCCACCATCGGGTGGTGGCGGCAGCAGGGGGGAGGGTAGCGGCAGGTGGCAGGGAAATACTCAGATCTCAAAATTGCCACCACCGCAACGACCGAATATCCCGGATCCAGCCCTACTGTCTCGGCCGATGCACGGCATTCGCCCTCCTCCTCGGTTGCCGTCATGCTTCTTACTCCATTTGCATGAGACTGGACAAAAACAGCAGCACTGCGTGTTTCACTCAAATTTTATCGCGATTTTTCAATTTCATAACTTCTCCATTGCATTGGTATTACCGTGCACAGTATGATATGGCCCAGCCCTACTTGCCACTGGATCCATACAGGCTGGGACGAGAGAGCGAGGCAACTCACTCACTTTAATCCAAGTCAAGCACAAGTCATGACTTCAAACCCTAAACCATACGGATGCTGAAGTCTTGGCCTTCTTCGATCATGAAGGGCGAACATCATCAGTGTTTGTCAGCTGCTAAAACGGCTAAAAATGAAGTTAAAAAAGCAGTTACAGTGAACCAAAACGCAGAATTCACTTCCCAGAAAATCAAAACAATGAGCCAAAGCAGTGACTCTCCCTGATTTACAATAAAACTGCTCAAAGAAAGTCCTGGGAAGTGCAGTCGACAAACCGACAGTTAGCAGCACGTCGACTGCAAGGCTTTGCCATATCGCTGCAGCACTCAGGAAGATCTTTTGCACAGCTACAGGTCAATATTCTTTATTGCAACAAAAATAGAAAGAGATGAAGTTAAAGTCTCCGAAGACTGGAAGTAAATTTTGTGGGGAGGTTTTTCATCTCTGCTTTGTGCGGGTGCCAGCAGACTTTGGGCACCGCAAACAGCCAGCATTAAATTCCCATGTCTAATTCAGCTGGATGGGTGACAGCAATCTGCCGCTCACAGTCGCTCCAATTACTCTCTTTCTGTCACTTCAGAATGAACTTGCAGACAGAAGGAAAAAGACCCGAGATGCAGTTGTATTTGAGGTCTCGCTCGCTGCCGTTTCTTTGAGAAGGGGGGGGCGAGTAACAAAGACGCCCCAGGAGAGGCCCCTCCGTGTGAACAGCTTTTTTTTTTTTCCTCTCCACGCCGCTTTCCAAGGACAGTCGTGATTTAGAGGTCACTTCCTCTTTTCCCACCGGCAAACAAACACGACGTCGCCGCTCCTCTCCTCCACCTCCGTCTCCCTCACCATGGTAACGTATTTTTCAGTCGTTCGTCTGAATGAGAGCGATGGCGCAACGCTAGGAAACCAACGTCGAGGTGAGTAACGGGTCAGCGCCGTGGTAATAAGTCATTATTTCTAATGAGACGGGAAAAACATTTGCTCAGGCGCGGAGAGGAAATGTGTTGTCTCCCTGATGTAAGGCTGATGCGGCAAACGCAATAAGTGTGTTTCGGTGTGGCGTTGATGCATCTATGAGTGTGTGTTTTTTTTGGGGGGGGGGACATCTTGCGAGTGAACGGTTGAGGGAGCAGAGCGATGAGCGAGGTATGTGTGGACACGCTATTAATGAGCTGAGAACAAGACCTGAGTTGAAGGAGAGACGGAGGGAGGGAGGGAAGGATGGAGGGAGGCAGCGAGGAGAATCACTCTCTGGACTACCTGGTATCACTTCTGTCCCTGGCAGAGGTCAGTCTGCTCTGCCAGCTGTCACTTCCCTCTCTCAATTTCAAGTTCTCAGAGGAAAAGTGATTCCTTGAGAGCCTGCCTCCCGCTTTCTCTCCAACTTCAACCTAATAAAGAGACTTTTTTTGTGTGTTTTTCAACTCACACACCCATTTCATTACTACAAGTGGAGACGAGCGAGACAGAGAGATAGAGAACAGTGAGATTACCAGAGAGCAGAAGATTTTTTTTTTCCTCTAACGTTTGATGATAATTAGTACATGCAGGCTCTTGTGCTGCTAATTTAACCGTGCCTCCGCAATCCTTTGAAATGCAAGGTAATGGGAGGGAGGTAGTCGCGTTTTGTTACGGCAAACACGATTACGTCGCTGCTTTAAACGCTCGAATCCATTTGCAATACATACGTACGTACGGGCTCTCTCGCAGATGACACACAGCTGAGCTTTTCACACAAATGAAGAGAAAGCTTTTACCTATAAGCAGAGCAAAGTGCAATAAACATGCTTTTTTTTTTTACCCAGTGAGGGTGAAAGAGCTTTTTTCCTTACAGGTGACAGAAGACACAGTGAGTCATCTTACCGCACTCTTTCTTGGGCTCGTCTGATCGGTCTTTGCAGTCTTTGACGGAGTCGCACACCTTGGAGCTGTCGATACACTCTCCGTTCTTGCACAGGAACTTCAGGGGTCCTTCGCATTTGGTAGCTGCGACGAAAGAAAAGAAGCAGAAGACGGATCAGCACCGACACGATCAATTTCATCTATTTGCGTAAGCCGCTGCAAACCTCACGCATCAACAAGTGCGTGAATTCAAATTGAATACCTCCAGCGGTTTGTCAAAACGACTCAAGGCTCGCATGAAACAAGCGCTCAGATATTCATATCAGCCCACATTAAAAGCCTGATGTAATAAAATCTGAACTTTAATTTCGGTCCAGTTTCACAGTGCCAGGGCTCAATTTCCTGGAAAAGAATTTTTCACTCTGCTGGTAAATTATGCATCACAGCCAGATGAGGAAGAAGTAATGAAACTGGCTTACTGGAGCCACACAACATCACATTTCATACATAACAATTCTTTTCACAACAATTTATGTGGAGAAAAATCCCACAGAAGTTTCTTTAAAGAGCAGTGTTTAGGATTTTCAACTGTTTTTAGTTCCTGGATGCACCTCTGGTTGGTCATTTCCACTGTTTTGAGCGATTCAAAGCCTGTAATCCAGCATTATTGCATGTAATTGATATCAGCTTCTGTTTACTCCGCATCAGAGCTGTATGAACACCGAATCCTTTGTCCAATCATTCGTCAAAACAAGACAACAGCTATTTTCTGCATTTTTTTGGACAAAGGCTGAGCTTTAAATATTGAAGGGGGTAATGGAGCAGGGAGCTGTTAGACAAAGAGCTGCAGGCGACGGGCTGCACACTTTCACCTCCTCAGCGAGGTAGCCAGCTCCTCTCACCGCGCCACGCTGCTCTGTAGAAAACACTCCGGCTGTGCACGATGGGAAGTCAGATTGCAGCGCGATTACATTTTTCGACTGACTTCTTATTTAAAGAGCTCGTGTCACTTTCCTCTGCGCTGTAAACGCTGCTACACCGGTTGCTCTTCTTGCTCGAGGATTGTTTGTATTACAACGACACGCATTTTCTGATAACGGAGGCGTTGCCAAGTAACACAGAAATGAAATCTGTAAGTCCCCTCCCCACGCAGACGTATGTTTCCCTTATATTTCACCGTGTTGCTCTCTGCATTCCAGTCAGGATGATGTATGGGCAGCGTTTTATATTACAAGGCTGTTCTTTCATCCATCTTCTGTAGGAGGAAAGTTTCTCTGAGCTCACCTGAAAACTTCTGTGACATTACAAATACTTTAGAATTCAGTCCAAGTGAAGGAATCGAATTAAAGTCAGCAAAAAAATGCATAAAATGATACATTGAAATAGCCTCTGAACGGATCCAAAACCAGGTATGACGGAGGTTTTGGCAGAAAGAAAACACCCCAAAGTTTGTAGAAGTCTGTGGGCACAAATGTTGCACGTTAATTCCACTTTTTTTCAATTTTTAATGAATAAATATCTTTTTTTTTTTCTTTTTTATGCTATATGGAGCTATAACTGTGCCATACTGCACAGAAGACAGTTTTGAACTCTCTCTCCTTGGAGCCACGGTTGTGCTGGTCTTCATATTGCAGTAAAAAATGAGCCCACAGCGAGTACAAATGTGAAAGCAAGGCCCAGAAACTGCTCGGGGAACGCAACTCTCAAGCCAAAAAGCATCTATAGTAGCAGAAGCAAACATTTAGGGTCCTACAATATGAACAATGCTGCTTTTGTCTTAAATTATTTGTGCAATAAATACAGCTGGGAGGACTGAAGTGCACAATATCATACAAACATCACAGGTTCTGCAGCTCAAAGGTCCTCACCGGCTGCCGCGAACCGGCTTTAACGTGGGCAGACAAGTGCAAAAGACAGTGATTATGCAGGAAGGCAGAAGAACAAGAGAGGGAAACTGATTCTGGCAGTCGGACACGCACCGTTGACGCAGCCGGATTCGTCGCTGTGGTCAGGGCAGTCGTGGACCTTGTTGCACTGCTTGGTGCCGTGGATGCAGGAACCGTCGCCGCACTGGAACTCATCGGGACGGCAGGTCAACAGAGCTGTAAGAGCAACACAGACAAGAAATTTGACTTTTAGATCCCCTTTTAATCGAAACACAACATCCTGGGGTCAAAACGCAGGATCTCTTGTTGCATTTTAACCCGACCGTTTTTCACTCTCCAATAACTTCTTTTTGAAAAATAGTTTGTGGTAACATGCATGAAATCTGAGCAATAAGCGATGCTGCACTTCTATTAACTCCCGGTCTGCGTTAGGTGCTGCCGAGGACAGAGACAGTCAACCTGAGGGCGTGTGATGAATGACTTTCAATATAGCAACACAAAGATGGAGGCTGCGCGACGCCACACCAAATTTCATTAATATCCCGGGCACAGGCAAGCTTTTCATCAACAGCGCCCAGTATGCTCATATAACTCCCCTCTAAACCACACTAAAAAGCAATATATATGACTGAGGGGGGTATGATTTAGTGTTATCACAAGACGAGCGCGACGGAGGGAATGTAATGGAGACTGGACGCACACATGCATGCATTCACGTACATATGTTCTCTATATGGTGTTTCTGTGTATCTTGCAGATCAATCTGGAGATCTGATTGGCCAATAAGCTGCATACAAACACAGGTTGTATATCCATAAGAAGAGACGGCAAGCGGCGCAGTCTGAAACCTATTAAAGAACAACAGCAACAGCATTCGTCTTCAGCTGAATGCTCGGCAGAAAATTCAATTTTTATGGCGAAGCGATCCCCGTGTAGACATTTAACAAAAGTAGTGAAGCTAAAGCAGAAATAAGAAGCGCCGTAACTCGTGGACAAAGATGAGGTTGTGCCCCCTAACTGCTTGCAGCCCTCTACCTTAATGCAGGGATCCAGCTGACTAACAAAACATCAATCTCTTGTAAGTGCTGCTTATATGACACCACACACGGCGAGAGGTGTGTTTGATGTGTGCACCGCACATCTTGATAATGAATAGTGGGACTATCTGGGCTTCACACTCTGTTTTAGTGAGACAGGAGCTTCGGGGCTCCCCCATCCATGACCAGCTAATGGGAAAACCTGTTTTATCACAAGGCCCCATCTCCACACGGTGTTTATCAACGGAAACACATTTGGGGGAGAAAAAAAACCCCAAGCCAATACTCCCAGAAGAGAAGAAATGTGCTAAATGACAAAGTAACGCCTCGGAAAGAAATATTTGTTGAGCTTATTTTTTCTATACTGCATCCTCAAAGCAAACAGATACCTTAATGCACTGCCCACGCTACGATAATGCAGAAATAAAGCCGACCTTGAGTGCAATTACTTATGAATATGTTGATGAGTCTGGAGCTGCACAACAGGTGTAGCGAGAAAACTATATGATCAAAATATTCATGGTGGTGCAGAGTCAAAGAAAATAAATTCAGCCCCGATGCAAACACAACGTGACCTCTGAGAGTTAAGAAAAGCGTGAAACTGAGCAACCTGACATCTGCACACATCAGATTTATAACTCAACAAGTGATTATCTGCAGTCAAAGATGCAGCTGTAAGTTTGGTTTAAATTCATACCTGCCTGTTTCGATAAGAGGTTACTGCATATGTAGTGTGTTACATGGCTGTGATAACTGTAACTTTAAACAGATCATGCCTTCCCTGTCTGTATTTGTATTTTAAAAATGGGCCTTGAAGGTTATTATGTCGTCCCTGTGCAGGGATAAGATACAAGTTTTTTTTCCTTGCAACAGGCAGCTGCAAGGACAGAAGCTTGTAAATGTAACTGTGGTTCTTTGAGCTGCCTTAAATCAGTGATTCTGGAGGAAGCCAGTTAGCATGTTTAGATGCTCTGCCAGCCACTCTGTCCTTATCTCCCCTCCCTCTTTCTTTCCTGCTGTCCTTGCACGAGCCTGAACGTGCATCGGACACGCTGGCAAAGTGTTGAGTAGGTCAATCCAACCTACTGCTACTCCAACACCACGTTTGGCTTCACCGCACACACAGAACAGTGAATAGAGAGATTTGAATTTAGTATCATGGACTCTGTGCCTTTAACCCTCTGAAAGCCCCACTGACGGGTGTGGAAGGCATCTTTAGAAAATGTGCCAAATTTATACCATTTATTACAGAAAGGAATCAGAGAATCATCAGATTTTCAACTTTCCAACAGTATTTGACATACTCAGGTGTGACAGGGGAGTGTAACTGAACTTATAAATCTGACATGCATGGATCAAAACCGAGCTGACAGTGCACCATGTCCAACTGGCAGGAGGGGGCTGGGATCAGTAAACCATTAAAGGCTCCTGTTGCACTACCTCTGTGCATCACCATTACATGTGCAATTCCTCAACTTCATGTGCAATATTGTCATTTCAACTGGTTCCTAATGTATTACTTGGTTTAGGTCTCTTTTCACAGTACTTTTTATTTATGTAGTACTTTTATGCTTTTCTTTTACATATTTTATTTAGAATTTCTATATTTGTTCCTGTCTTGTTATTGTTGTGGACCAGTCTCACTCACCACGCCAAATTCACAGGGCTACGCTTAGAGACAGACAACCAAGCACACTCACATTCACACCTACAGACAATTTACAATCACCAATTAACCTCAGCATGTTTCTGGACTGTGGGAGGAAGCCGGAGAACCCGGAGAGAACCCACGCTGCACAGGGAGAGCATAGAGACTCCACACAGAAAGATCCCGGGTGTCCTCACCGGGACACAAACCGGCGACCTTCTAGCTATGAGGCAGCGGTGCTAACCACCGAGCCACCTTGCAGCCTCAGATAGGACTCATGTATGAGAACCAAAATGTAAACAGTAAAACACAGAGTGTGGAGTCTGTGCTGGTAACACCTTACTTTATAAATAAACCAAGAAAATCAGCTTTCATTTGTGCATTTTTCTGATTAATGATAACTTTGCTATGCTACACAGAAGACATTCCTGAATCCTGTCTACTTCTAGCCATGGCTGTGCTGTTTCCATAGAGACTTTAAATTGCAGTGAATATTAAAGTCACAGTCAGGAAAAAAAAAAAATGTGACAGGAGCAAGAAATGCCCAGAAACTGCTTGGAGTTGAATGTTCCTGCAAAAATCATGAGCACAGCTGCAGAAGTACACTCCAGGATGGGTGAAACTGGTGTTTCTCTTTGGGGGTTTTTTCTGAAATGTGTTGTTTGTGACGAGGTCAAACAGCACTGAAACCCCAAAGGTTCAAAGGGTTAAAGTGGAGGCGTGCTGTGTTCTAGTTCTATGCTACATAACACTTAAAAAGACTTTTTTACTGTGTGATGGACTTGGTTTTAGTATGCAATAAATCTGTATTAGCACAAAATGTGTACTGAAAAAATTCTATCAAACTGTAGCCGAGTAAACATCACAAAGAAAGAAAGAAATGTTTGTTGTATTGTTTGTTTTTTGTAAGGCCTTTCTCAAACTTTTTCACCCCCTTCTGCGATTTGATGATAATAATGTTTTGCAGCTTTGAATAGTTCCTTCACGCGTTGCACTGCGAGGACAACAGTGAGCACCGAAATGACAGGAAACTATATTATATGCATGCAAACTGACCTTCTTAAAAGGGTTCGCTCAGATTGTTTGAAACGAGAGTGCATCAGGTCCTTATCCATTGTCAGCAGAAGGCGGCCAGAACGCCCCCAGTTTGGAGGCACAGACAGGAGCACCGGCATGGGAGCTAAACGCTGGACTACTGTGGACGGGGGTCAGCAGCAAAAACACACTTAAAAACGCCTACCTAAAAAATTCAATAGCAGCTTAGATCAACACTATGTTTAGTTTGGTTTCACTGCTTTACCTTGCTGACAGGGAAACGAGGCTAATTATTGGTCCCTTCAAAGCAGCCAGACTCCATTTGGAAAAACAGTAACGTTAGCTCACTCCACACAGGAGCTGCTGTTGCCTCGATCAGTTACTTTAGTGATAATTTGGTGGTTCATATTAGTTTGGATAAAAACTCTCGTGATCTGCAAGGTAACGTTAGTAGTTAGGAGTCTAGTGGCTTTGAGGAAAGCATCAAGGCTTGAGTT